AAAAGCAGTTTGAATTGACGAAAATTAAATTGCAAGTTGAACTGCAGAAAGAGTGCGCTGATGTTATAGTAGAATTCGCTGAACTAAAGAAAGAGAATGGAGAGCTGAAGAATAAACTGGCTCATAAAGAGTTTCAACTTGCAAGGGCAAGACGGTCAGCCAAGACCAAGCAAGGATGAGTGAATCAAGTAGAAAAGCTCAGGTGGAACATATTTAACAGTGTGGAAACGTCACAAATCAGAAAGCTCATTTTCTCTGCATACACATGACGGTTAAATCACACTGTTGTGGCGATATTTACAGAGAGCAAACGCTTCACTCAGACTATTACCATTAACAGGGTTTTACGTTGTGACCGAATGCCTAAGCGTTCAGATAGGACACCCCGAGTTTGTTCTTATTTTACGCCCAAACCGTTAGGGTATGTTGCGTCCAATTTAGTTTTTAGAATGTTTGATCAAGGTTGAAGTAGAGGGACAATTTTCAACAAATTTGTATTTTTAAATAATTTTCTTGAGCCTTTATGTGCTATAGTGACCCTTTAGAGGGATAATGAAAGGCCACCCAGCCCCTATCGCCCCCCCCCCCCCCCCCCCCCCCCCCCACGGCCAGAATAGTCCACTTGCAACTTCACCGTTTCCGGTGCGGTCTGCTGAGACTTAGAAAAAATTGAGCTGAGGTTCCTGACGCTGCTGTCTGGCTTCAGGATATTTCCTGCAAGATTTAGATAGTGAACCCAGCTGGTTTGTTTAATTCAGTGATGAATCCCTCTAGTAGACAACTAGGAACGCTGGGAGACGTTTCTACTGGTACCCCCACTAATTATACATCAAAAGGAGCGGCTCGGCCGAATGGTCTAGTTATTATTATGTGAAGAGAGCCGAGTAGTTGATTGCATCAAGGAAGTAACTCCTTGAACCACGGAGTACAAAAAAACCCAAACAAAATAAAAAATACTGCAGCACAAGTTTTCACAGGAAACAGATTATTTCTGTCTCCTTGTGCTGCATGGGGGTTTTCTCTGGGAGCTCCAGTTCGCCCCCAACACTAAAATCACAACACGTTACCAATGGATCTGCTGAGCTGTCAGCAATTAAACAGCATTACCACAAGAAATGCAATTTATCCAGTTTATATTTAGAGTTTGGCATTCCCGTCCCCTTTTACTTTTTTGAGTAACACAGTGCTTCTCATCCCCGGTCCGCTGTCCTGCAAGTTTTAGATTATGAACCCAGCTGGTTTGTTTAATTTAGTGATGAATCCCTCCAGTAGACAACTAGGAATGCTGGGAGACGTTTCTACTGGTAGATTAAGGTGTTAAAAAAGGAGAACGCACAGCGAGGAGATATTCGCTGCTACAAATGGACACTAGAGGATGATAAAAGCAAGCAAAACTGCTCAGTAAGATGAACCTAAACTAAGCAAATGAGACCATAGCCCTGACATCACGTGCGTTAAACCCCAGATGCCGAACAGCCCCCACTATCGCCCCACACACGGAGTCAAACACCTCCAACTCAGAAACCTCGTTTGAAATGCCGTACACCACACTCACAACCATACCATAAACAGGGTCTTACGTTGTGACTGAATAAGCGTTCAGATAGGATTGCCCAAGTTTGTTCTTATTTTAGGCCCAAACCGTTAGGGTAAGTCACATCCAATTTAGTTTTTAGAGTTTTTGAGGGACAATTTGCAATGTTTTCATCTGCTGTTTTTTTTTATTTAGTGATGAATCCCTCTTGTAGACTACTAGGAACGCTGGGAGACGTTTGTACTGGTAGATTAAGATGTTTAAAAGAAGAGGACACTAGGGGTGATAAAAGCAAGCATAACTGCCTAGTATCCCTTTAATACAAGTTAGCGCTGATAAAAGGTCTGCTATTAGTTATACTCAGGTCTAGTGGGACCAACCTGATCCTTCCTAATCCATAACACTACAGAATTTCACTCAGTATTTGAACGCTGTAAACATTATTTCCCTGTTCCTCTTTATTCAAGGCCCTGACCCTGAAAGCCACGTATTGTTCTGCACTAGAAGATTTGAGCTCTTTATAATTGCTATTCACCGGAGGATTTTTAGCCCTTCTTTATTCTCCTTCCGGATGTTAATGTGGCTCGAAGGGCAGAGGGCACCCCCACTAATTATACATCAAAAGGAGCGGCTCGGCCGAATGGTCTAGTTAGTATTACGTGAAGAGAGCCGAGTAGTTGATTGCGTCAAGGAAGTGCCTCCTTGAACCACGGAGTACAAAAAAACCTAAACAAAATAAAAAATATTGCAGCACAAGTTTTCATAGGAAACAGATTATTTCTGTCTCCTTGTGCTGCATGGGGGTTTTCTCTGGGAGCTCCAGTTCGCCCCCAACACTAAAATCACAACACGTTACCAATGGATCTGCTGAGCTGTCAGCAATTAAACAGCATTACCACAAGAAATGCAATTTATCCAGTTTATATTTAGAGTTTGGCATTCCCGTCCCCTTTTACTTTTTTGAGTAACACAGTGCTTCTCATCCCCGGTCCGCTGTCCTGCAAGTTTTCTATGTTGCCGTTTCCAACAGCATCGTTTCTCTGCTGCCACACACTTGGCTTAAATGAATGAGAGATTTACAGGCTTCTGCAGCACTTGATGTCATCCTAAGGAGGCAATGCATATATGTGAACCAGGTGTGCTGTAGCAGAGACATGAAAAACATGCAGGACGGGGAGGGGGGCCCTGAGGACCATGGTTGAGGTCCTATATGGTTCTCTCCGTCTGCCAAAGGGCTGTCGAGATTTAGGTAATTAGAGGTTTCTTTTACACAACTCTTCCCTCTCACAATCTGTTAGATTGCCTGTTGTTAGTAGGTAGATGGACTGTATCAGGGAGGGAGTTAAAGGGTGTCTTCCTGGGGTGTCGGTAAGAACACAAGTTCAGGCTTCATTTCAAATTGGCCTCTTTATTCTCAGATGAAAAGTAGTAGCAACAGCAATGCACAGGGGCACGCAGAACATTGATGCAGGGCTGAGCAACGAGTATTCAAACCGTTAAGAATTACCCAGAGTGTGGTCTAAAGGAAAGGAAAGAATAATGCAGGAAGAACAGATTAACATAAAATATATTCTGCCCCATTTGTTCAAACTAACACAACAACATAGTAGGAGGAAAAAAAACAACCTTTAAACAGAAAATAATATAATAATCAGCAGGTCCAGATCACCTTGGTCTGGACAACCCAGTCTACATGGCCACACCAGCTATAAACCCTCTAGGTAACCTACCAGGGCAGACATGTTACAAGGAGGACATCTAGTGGCCATTTCTGAGATTTACCAACACTCAAATGTTCTGAGATTCTAAACCAAAGTACCCACTTTTACAGCTATAAACCACCTCACATCCAACACTGCAACCCACACACATGCATAAAATAGGCAACCCAGTTATGATTTTAACAGTAACCCCACATATCGGACTTGGACCCTTGCACACCTCTCACATACCTGCCATCAGCAGAGAGCGATCACATAAACACAAAAACTAACCAGTCTAATCTTAATAATCCTAAACAGTTGTCAAGAATCTCACCCCCAGTAAATCACACAGTCACTCCATCTTTAGTTACTATCAATATGGCTCTTTTAAATGTTCGCTCTCTGCTGAACAAAACTTTTATTATAAATGACCTAATTTTAGATAATCACCTTAAATGTGTATTTTTGACAGAAACATGGTTGAGTTCAGATGCTCCTGCTGTTCTCACAGAGGCCTCCCCACCAAACTTTAATTTTACTTATTCAATAAGAAACGGAAAAAAGGGAGGCGGAACTGCTGTTATAAGCTCTTCTACACTTTCCGCAAAACCTGTTTTATTTGACAACTTCACCACTTTCGAATATAGTGCAGCCATTTTTAGCGATCTTCAGATTTTATGTGTTTCTGTTTATAGGCCTCCGAGGCACAGTGCACTTTTTATACAGGAATATTCCAAGTTTTTATCAATTCTGCACAACTCTTTTGATAGTATTATTTTAGCTGGTGATTTTAATTTACACATACATGACCCTGCAGACCATTTTACCACTGAATTTTTAAACATTTTGAGTTATATGGATTTTACACAACATGTTGCACAACCAACCCACGACAGAGGACACACCCTGGACTTGGTCATCAGGTACGGTCTGTCCACCGGTGTGTCCTCTGTCGTGGATTTAGCTATCTCAGATCATTTCTGTGTGTTTTTTAACATCACCAGCATAATTCAGCAGGAGACCTGGAGCCGCCACTGCTCTAGCCTATTAAAGAAACAAAGTTCATCCTTCTAGATATGCATTTGGGGGCTGTGCAAAATCACAGAAGGCCACAAATAGCCCTACGGACATTCCTGATTTGGAGCCACTATATTAAAATGCACATGCCTAAAATGTATCTAAACAAAAGCTGAGCCACTACTATCCAAACGGGGTTAGAACTTGTATAAATGTGCTTTTCATGAACCTCGGGGCATGGGAATGTACAAAATAATATCTCTGGAAGCTTTACTACAGGTCAGTTGATGCATGTCATAAACGGTTCAGTGGGTTTTGCCCTCATTCTATCACCTTTGTTGAGCTGATCATTTTTTCAAAACACCTTCAGACTAGCCTTCAGAAGGACAATATGAACATGTTTACAAAGTTTAATGTGAAAACATTTCAATAAGAATACACACTTTTGTTAACTAACTTGTTTAGGTAGTAATTTAGAACAAATAGTTGAATTACACGGCCTTAGTTTGTCTCATTTTGTCCAGATGCTCTCACCCTAACACTCAACAAAGCGTTTGTGTTGATCCAGGGCATGGCCCGTCCACTTAAACCCTCAAGAACTCAAGTTAAGCAACAAAGATTAATACTAAAGTGTTCAGAGAATCTTCAGCAAAGCTGAAACCTTCCTTTGTATTTTGATTTGTCATTAATGTGGGAGTTACTGCCACCTAGTGGTGTGGTGCTCATGAGCCTATCCAGATGTGTGAAAACCTGCTCTCTGCATCGTGTCCAGACGTCAGAAGCGAACAGCGTCTCACTCTGTTCAGGCGGTGGAGGACCTGAAGGCTCGTGGACGTCTTGGTCGTCCCATCGTCTGCTCTCTTCACCCCGGCCAGGAGCTCAGGCTCTTCTGTCAGCTCTGCGACCTACCCGTATGTCTGGACTGCGCTTCCACGCTGCACAGAGACCACCACTGCTGTCCTACGCACGACGTCATCGACCATCACGGTGACCGTATTCGAGATCTGGTCAGCACGCGTCTACGACCCCGACTGGAGCAGATGGAGGAAGTTCTACAGAAGGTTCAGAGAGGCCGTCTCTAAGCCCATTCTTTTGTTATCTAAAACACACTTGGTGGTGCGGCTTGTTAAGCTTTGTTTTTTATTTTGTTTAATTTTTCCTGATATCCTGCTACAGGTGGAAACTTCCCAGGAGAATTTGAAGGTACGGGTCGAGGCAACAGCCAGTGAGATCAGAGCCTTTGCTCGAGGCTACGCCAGCGCTGTGGAGGCCCATTGTCTGTCTCTGCTGCGGCGCCTAGAGGAGCTTCAGGTCCAGCGCAGGTACGACGGGGTTTCCGCGCAGTAGTAGCAACCAGGGCTGCTCGATTATGGCAGACATGATCATCACGATTATTTAACTGAAACTGAGATCTTGATTATTTAAGATGATTTTTAAATTAATGTTGATTTTATGTTTATATGTTTGTATTTGCTCATATGATTGCACAATCAGAGAGAAAAAAACATGAAAAATAGAAAGAAACAAGGTAATCGCAAAAACAACTGATTCCTAGTACAAAGGAGCCGATACACTTGCTCATGACTGAAGGAGTTTAACCCTCCACCCCGTCTCACGGCGCGTGCCGCGCACGCACATTTTCTCAGCGGCTTGGGAGCTAGGCCTTAGAGCCGTTTCATTTTGTAAACGAAACACTTCACTACAGCATTCCCTTCCGAATGTCCAGAAGGACGCTCTGACCTGCAGGAATTATAAGCGACAGTAGAAAGTAGCTAAGGGTTACCAGAAGTGTTTTGTAATGATTTAAATTACATGTTATTTAATAAGCCATAAGCCATATGATTCCATAGTAAATATGAAATCCACCTTATGGATCTGACTGTGGGTACTGTTTAACCAGAAGATTGGAACTTTTTATTGCAGGGATTAGATAACAGCTTCGAATTCACTCAGAGACAACAGAAGAGAGAGTCAAGTTTAAAAGTTTAAAGATTTATTACTAAACAAATTAAACTAGACTAACTTTAACACTAAATGTATGGTGTAACTAAGGTGAGTGAGACGGAGAATGGTGTAGTGTGGAATGTTGCTCAGAACCAGCAAATCCGAAGAAACGATTAGTTCTGAGGGGAAATGAAGGTGATGTCTTCGCATTAAGCTTTGGTTAGAAGGTTCATAAACACATTCAACGCCATTTGTCGGTCTACGTACCCGTCTAGATCAGGAGGTGTAGAGGTCCAGCTTGACCTTGTGGAGCCGGAGCATGTAGAAGAGCCACGGCAGCCGACCACCAGTCTTGAGATACTCCCAGGTCACGACAGTTTGTTGGCATCTAGCGAGACCCAAACCTGGGTCGTGATGGTTCAGCTTTTATTGTGAAATGAACCGTTGCAGCAGTTGGAACAGCAACAGATTTTATCCAGCTTGTCGTTGGTTCTTTTGGCTGAAGAGGAAAGTTACGGATTGGCCACTCCGACAACTTCTCTAGAACGCTTTGAACTGGCGTTGGAGATGGCGCGGCCAAAATTGGAGACCCGGCCTTTAATTGAATGCCTGCCTGTATTAGAGGATTTACGATATATATTTGGAGAACACTGTTGCTACACTTACTGCTTGTTTTACTGACGAGAGAGGTGAATGTTCAGCTGCATCCGTGGCGAGTGGCGTGTCAGATGGTTCGCTGAACGTGACAGAAGCGGCAGCTGCAGGAGCTGATTGTCGGCTCAGGAGAGTGTCCAGCGTCTCTCGTCTCTCCGAGGGTGTTTAGGCCCCTTGTGTGGGAAAATGGCCAGTAAAGCATTTAGTTTCTGCCCTCTCTTATACCCAGCCGCTCCGGTGAGCTCTTAAAGTATTTGTGGTTGACTATAAGCCTCAAACGCATCAGGAGAAAAATGTTGGGAACACAGCCTTCTTTTAGAATTCTGAAACTTTCTTTGGGAAGTTGTGTCCGTCCACAGGCATCTTCCCACTGCTTTCTCCTCTTCTTGCCAGTGGGAAAGCTGTGTAAAGTCACATCACTCCCCTTGTTGCCCTCTGACTGGAAATTACATCCAAAAGCAGCACAATGCAGCATTTTACTTAATAATTAATACAGTGAGCGCGTAAACAAACACTAGCGTCAATAGCTATTCTTCCAAGTGCAGCCAATATCCGTCATCGCCCCTAGAGTGCATTGCATGCAGAAAGCATGGCGTCCTGCATATGTCAAAAAAATGTACTTAATATTTTAGATATATAAATAAACGGCTATATTTTGTGTGTTTCTAACAACATAGTTTGATACAACAGAAAACTTGTGGCTTATTAGGGCATCCACGTCCTCTTAGCCGGAGTTCCTTTTAAGATGGTGACTTCACATTTCTGTTTATAAATGTTCTTCTGTAGCCGACAAACAGCTAAAACATGTTGTTTTACAAGTATTATTCTCATGTCATGTTTTGTTCTCATATATTTATATCTTAGAGACTTACTTGTTCGTGAAAAGTTCATCAACTCTGCATCAGTCGAGGTATTCCTTAAATTTGAAGCATCTAAGCGGTAGTCTAATGATATTGGTTAGTTCTGGTCTGCACTCCGTTTCCTATTGCACAGAGCTCTGTGGGGCAGGGGGCGTGGTTAGCAAAAACAAAAAAAACTTGTCTTAGTTTCTACATTACATCACAGTACATGATGAGATAATCACTTTTACGGATTTCTGACAATCATACATCATTTCTGAAAGGGGAAAAGCTACTTTAAGGCCCTCGAGGCTAATAAATAAGTTTGGTAGTAACATTTTCTCTGCCCTTAATTATATTAATGTTTTTTTGTTTGGTTTTAAGCTCTTTAAACTAAACATCTACGAGTGGGACTTGAGTAAAACATTAATCTAAATGATGCGTTCAATTCCCACCCCTGAACAATCGTATTAACCGCGTTCGTGAAGCTCTTCTAACCAGAACAGAAAGAATGAAGTGATAAAAACATCAAAGCTAAACAGGAAGTGAATGCTTAGGAAACATTTATCCACCCGTCTTCTGCTGCTCAGCTGGAACTGATTGGTGGAAAACGGCCTAATCAGAGATCCCCTTTTTCCCAGTATCCTGCTTATCATTTGATTTTTCCTACTCGGAGGTGGGGATTTCCGAGGACAAATCAAATGCACAGTTTGTCTGGCCATGACCCACACAGCCGTGGGACGGAGTCTACAGTTGTCCTTCAGACTGTCTCTGCTACAGTGCAGAGTGGCTAGACCGGTCTGCAGAGCTAAATCTGTAGCGAGAACCAGAGTTTATGGAACTCCTTCCATTAATCATCCTATCAAATCTGACCCTGAGCAGCTGGTTATTCTTCAGTAACCTGTAACCTTTTAACAGCAGGACCACTGAACCCAAGCCTCATCTGTTTCCCACAGAAACGTCCTCCACCTGCAGAGCGTGCAGCTGCAGCAGGGCCTGCTGGATGTCCGAGGCAGTGTGGCGTTTGCCGAGCGCCTCCTGAGCTGTGGGTCTGACGCCGAGATCCTCAGCGCTAAAGGAGTGACTCTAAGACGACTCGCCAGCCTGGCAGAGAGAGGCTATAACCCTTGTCCAGCGGCGGTCGCCCCAGACGATAGCAGCAGCATTTGCTTCCTGCCCAGAGAGCCAGCCGGAGAGGTGGAGGGCTACCCAGTGGTGGGTGTGATTAACTGGAGGACGCTGGATGTCAGCAGGTGCACCATTGAAGGAGAAGGTAAACAAAGGCAAAGTGGTGTTCTGTCTGTGTTCCTGTAAGATAAAGAGAAGGTGATCTCGGGACTGGGTTTGCACATCCTGTTTTACTGGTCACAGAAACAAGTCAGTGGTCAGACTGAGCTGATAGACCAGTGGGCGTTCCAGAATTCCTCCTGAACCAAAGGAATGCCGGTGTGACTCAACATGCCTTCTGGGAATGTCCTTAGAGGATGCTGTCAGGTCCAGACATGTAGACAGAAAGCTTCAGGACACTTTCTGGAGACAGTCATTTATTTAGAGCAGACTCTTCAGAAGGTCTGGAAACAAAAACGTGTTCTACTCATGTTCTCACCTCAGGAACCCACAGTAGGTTTGCTCGGGTTATATATGGCCCGCGGGCCTTGACTCTGACATATGTGCTGTAAAGGGTTGTTTTAGCACACACTGGCTCAAGAAAGTGACTTGAAAATTTGCAAAGTATTTAAGCTTTAAGGCTTCACGACCTCAGAAATGTAAAAACTTTAACACAAATAATCGTTATTTCAGTTTTGACCCAAATTAATCATCTATCAGCGGTTTAACATCTGAGGCATCTCTGTCCACCGTTTCTGCAGTAGCAGCGGTTTCATCAACATCAGCGGCTTCAGGATCTCAGCTGCTTGTGGACAACACTGAGTGATCAGATAATCAGTCTGACAGATGTCCAGCGTGACATTAATCATTGATGCGAACACAAAGTCTGTCAGCAGTGACACGACTGCAGCAGCAGCTGGATGTCTCGAGTGAGTGAAAGCGGGAGAGTCTGGAAAACTGATCAGCATCCGGAGCTGATCTGGAAGCAGTTGGCAGCGTTAGGAAGGACGGGAGTCATGGGTGGGCTGGGGAATGAGAGTTAATTCCACATTACAGCAGGCTAAACATCCAAATCCACATTAAGAGTCAACAGCAGATCTTAAAAGAGCTTCCTGGCTGGTGCCCCTTACACATGAACAAGCTATGTTTAGATTTATCCTCTTAGTCCTGCAGTACATTGTCTGTGTTCAGCTGTGTGACCTTTAACCTTTAGCCTGGTTACAGGTCTGCGGCGGGGCAGCGAGGGCCAGCCGGGCCGTTTTAGCCTGGTGTGTCGAGACTCAGCCGGGGAGCAGATGGCTCGAGGAGGAGAGCAGGTCCTCGTCAGCATCGTCCACAAAGAGAAGAAGAACTGGTGAGGGCTCTGCCCGCCTCTGTGGGGGATGCTTTGTTGGTAATGATTATTTGGTATGTATACTTTATAATACCCATTAATGGTTGTGTCCTTCAGCGCTGTGGAGACGGTGGTGGTGGACAACGCTGATGGAACGTACAGCGTTTCATACAAGCCTGAGGAACCAGGACCTTACTCTGTGTGGGTTTGTGTCAAAGCCCAGCATGTGAAGGTACTAAGGGCTGCACCCAAACAAAGGATACAGGTAGACAGGTGCTGGACTCACCTGGAGCTCACAGCTCCCCTCTCCTCCCTGCAGGGTTCTCCGTTCCTGCTGAATGTGAAGAAGAAGTTCAGACACCACGGTGGGACGTTCCACTGCTGCTCCTTCTGCTCCAGTGGAGGAGCCAAAGAGGCAATCTGTGGCTGCGCAGGAACGATGTCAGGTACTGGGGACAAGTCCGCTCACACAGGAAGCTGTCACTGTGTCACACCTGGTCTTTGGTATCTTACCAAGATGTGGAAATGAAAAGTTCTAAACTTTTAGTTTGTAGCAGGCGCTCTATAAACACGAGCTAACGCTCCAACCATTCTATCTCTGTTGGGGTCATCATGAGGGTCTTTGTTGGCCTGATGAATGCGAGATGTTTCATTCACATGGACCAGAGCGTGAGCCCGTCTAGATGTCCTTCCTGTGTCTCTGCAGGAGGGTTTAAAGGCTGTGGTCACGGTCATAAGGGACATCCCGGGAAGCCCCACTGGTCCTGCTGCGGCAGCACCACTGAGAAGTCTGAGTGTTTACCTCCGAGCGTGTTGGCTGCTGTCTCTCCTCGTGGACATCTGCGCACCGTGGAGCTGTGAGGGACCCAGAGATGAGAACACAGATCCATCTATATTCTTGTCGTTGTTATAAACAACATTACAATGGAACAAATGCAGAGCTCTCAGTCAAAAACGGTCTGTTCTCTGGTGTTCACATGTCTGTGGACAATTATTTCACCTAAATGAAAATGTGAAATCATTCTTTACTTGTTTCCATCATATAGAGGATTTTTTAATAAATGACATCTAAAAAAAAACACTATTAAATACAGCCATGATGTGTTGAGCTCCACTGTATCCCCTCTGTGGGCAGATCATGGCTCAGAAGAACAACACATCTCCTGGTAGACCATGCTGACTAACACTAACCCAGCTGAATGTTGCCGACCACAGTCTCCTCCAGTAACTGTAACAGCCCAAACCACTACACCACCTCCACCTTGGGTCTAATCCTAACCCTGGCTCTAACGAGGTTACCCTAACCCAAACCACTACACCACCTCCACCTTGGGTCTAATCCTAACCCTGGCCCTAACAGGGTTACCCTAACCGAAACCACTACAACACCTCCACCTTGCTTTTGTTGTGGCTCTAATCCTAAAGGTTGGTTTATGCTTGACGCGTCCGTGAGGTCCGCACGGCTCCGCGCGGAAAAGTTGCGTCATTTTAACAACCACGCCCCTCCACCGCACCTCCGCACGGCCCAAAATTTCCGCAGCGCGCACCTAGGAAATTTTCTAACCACGCGGACGGTCGGACGCGGAAAAGCATGGCGGACCGGCAAGAACTAGTATGGCAGAGGTTCATAAATACAGACATTTGTGTGATTCAGCTCTCAGAGATCACCGCGATCAACATGTTGTTAATAATTCTTGGAGAGAAATAGCTCGCACTGTCAGAAAAGACAAGGACCCTGTTAAAAATGCTGGAATGCCATGTTGTAAACAACAGTAATTTTTACTTCTACTATGGTGTAGTGTTGGATGCATGTCGTAGAGCTCCATGCTGCCCCCTACAGTTTGGGAGAATATCGGCTCACCGCAGAGACAAGCCGCTTGAACCATAAACGCTGCAAGTTGTGAAGCGCGTTCCATCCGCGAGCCGCATCACCAAGCGGAAAGTAAATGCGTCAACCATAAACCAAGCTTAACCCTGGCTCAAACAGGGTTACCCTAACCCAAACCACTACACCACCTCCACCTTGCTAGTGTCTTGCCTCTAACAGGGTTTCTACACCAAAGAGGTTCCTGTGCTTGTCCTTAAAAAATAGTCTTGTGACCCATAATATCTGTCAGACAGATTAGACATACACGACTATTGTAAGAAAACCACCCATTTGTAGCTTTTCCCTCCCCCGCCCCCAAATTCCAGGATTTTAGGTAAGAACATATACAATTCTTGAAAGCAGAAAAACTGAATTTATTGGAGGAAAGAAGCTCTGAGTGTCTCTAAATGAGCTGCTGATCTGAGTAAAAGTGAAACCAACTCAGAGATTTTAGACTTGGAGCTCATGTTTTCCTCAGCTGTTCTCTTGGAACCAGCAGATGGTGCTGGGAGAACAGCCAGAGCTCTTGGTAATGGGAACACGAAGAACTGGTTCACTACTGGAACTGGAAAAAGTGGACCATCCATCCATTCCCAGTTGCTTAACCTTTTTTTCCTTTCAGGTTTTTATGCCATTAATTTGTGTTTTTTCAAGTAGTGCAGAATCACAAAGGTGGATCTGCACCAGAGTCAGCCCCGCCCATTCACGCAAACTCAGCCCAGCCCACTGACTTCTTCTGTTTGTTTTTTTTTTTTGTTTGTTTTGTTTTTTTTACTTTATTGCAAACTAACCTGACCTACATGAACTACGGCTGTTACTAGTTTACAGTTGTTAATACTAAATTCCAATTAAGCAAGATAAGTATAATTTGCTACATGAAATGAAAGGTTCTTTTCAGCAAATTTCTGCCCACGGCCGCTCCGACAAAATGCGCCTAAACCAGGGTTTTAGGCTAACCGATTATTGTATGAGCTCTGGTAGTCCAGTGGTGTAACGGTCTGACTTATGCTTCGTTTTGCCCTCTGCTGACGCTGGTTTGACTCTCACTGGGGTCGGCAGTAATGTATTTAGCCAACTGAAACAGATTTAATTTATTAATATTTTAGTTTTATTGATTATTTTCTACAAAATATTTTATGTCTCTAAAAAGGTATTTGAATTTGGTTGTTTCTAAGCAGCATTTTAGTTTAAACTCTGGACCCACACTGGCTAAATAAACAAAGAAGGTAAAAACAAACTGATTAGTTGTTATATTTTAAACCGTTTACCAATAAAGGGTTGAAAACACAATATTGGCAAGAGTAGCTAGGAAAAAAAAAGTTGATGCCACGACCGGGAGGAGAACCTGCACAAAACTACACACCAGTCTGACACCATAGTCACCCCACCACTACATCTGTTACAGTATGGTTGGTGCCACGTATCCTATCTAGTGTGTCTTTGTAGACGGATGGATGGTTTTTCTGGCGGTGTCCCAGTAGAAGTCATTTCAGAAGTCATTTTTCAGAAAATCCACAGAATATCCAGATCTGAGAACCAAGACCAGACCTGCTTCAGGGGGAGAAGAAATGCACAGTAGTGGCTTACTTTCTTCCATTTGCAGGAAAAATCTTTACATTCAATTCAGTTCAGAAATACTTTATTAATCCCAGAGGGAAATTGATTGCTGTAGTAGCTCTGAATAATAATAATAATCAAGTCATCCAAGAGTTATTGTATATTACAATGGCTGTTGGCAGGAAGGATCTCCAGTAGCGGTCAGTGTTGCAGCCAAACTGAAGAAGCCTCTGACTGAAGGCACTCTTCCGTTGTCGGACAGTCTTGTGAAGAGAATGCTCAGGCTGATTTAAATCAGAATAAAATACAAACTTTAGGCTTCAGTTAAGCTGCGTGTTTGCGTGTATCTGATGTCGGCAACAGCCGGGAAACGTTTGTGTTTTCTGAAAATAAAATGTTGCTTTTATGTGAGATCAGCTGATGCTGTTTTAACCTCCAACCCTCTCCAAAGCTGCTCTGACTTCTCCAGAGGTTTTGACCCACCCACCCACTCCTTGTTGCAACATGAAAAATAAAGTTTTCACTCTCAGTCCTGCCTCGTGTGATCATTTAAAAATCATTATTCATGTTATTAAAGCATCTCAGATGAACACATGAAGACCCGCTCTGCAACCCTCCTCTTCCTCACATGCTGCAGTTTCTGTAGCACCTGTATTTTTGGGCTCCCATGTTCACTTCTTCATTATTGTCATTTTTTAACTAATTCTTAAACTTTTTCCTCCATTTTTGATTCTGGTCTTTTTAAGTAATTATTCAGTTTGTTCTGAAGTGGAATTACTCAGACTTTGATTTCCCGAGGGGGTCATGGAAAATCAGTCTGTTTCTTTGGGAGCAAAAGTGTTCCTGAGCAGACTTTTCCTGCGTCATTCTCTAGAAAGAAGAGATCATGATAAGACAAACCTGCTGGCTGTAGTATCATTAACACTTGCCCTGGCCAGCAGATGGCATCAGATAGTTTAAAATGACTCTGTCATGACCATTTAAATGTCTCCTGTTATGTTTTTATTAATGCATATCTTCCATGAGTAGCAGTGACATTTGATTGGAAGCTGTCCCAGAAGGACGCTCCAGCTGTCAGGAGCATCTCTGCTGGATCCAACAGGAAGCTCCAGCAGATTGGATCTGAGTGACTTCCTGATTACCGGGTAAAAGTCTGGGGAGGAGAGGTTAAAGAGCTGAGATTAGAGGTCTCACACACACACACAGGTGTGGGTTGTAGATGACGGAGTGGCTTTAGGTGTGTGTTTCTGATTTCTGGCTCTGGTGTTAGTCTAAAGTCCACACTGAGTCTTTGCCAGAACCCATAAACTCCTTGGCCCTCCGTCGAGCTCTCAGGTAATGTTGCTTGTAATTGGGAGAGCCGATGATCATGATGCAGCGTTTTCTCCCAGCTGGGACACACCTTTTCTCGTGTTGAACATTTGACCCACTGAGCTTTTCATGCTGTCATCATCCGCCTGCTGAGAGTCGGTGGAGCCTGGATCCTGCCTCGGCCTTCAGGTGGTCTAAAAGACTTGAAGGTGGGAATTAAAACCATCACATCAAAAGTTGACATCAAGAGAAGTAAATGATCCCTGGGCTGCTTCATTTTTGAAGCTTTAAAAATAACTAGGACCTGTTTTATTATTGGATCTGCAGCGTGGGAGATGCCTTCAGTTTTTATTCAGCCCCTGAATCACCTGAGACTCCTGCGGCTTCGTGAGAATCACTCCCTTGAAGGCATATTTGTTCATTTTTAAGGGTTTCGGGGTTTAAGATGATGCAATTTTACCTTTTGTAGACAGCTTCCTGAACAGCCTCTGTTTAGAGAAATAGCGCTGACACCAGAACTTCCAGAATTCCAACTTCACTAGAATTTCCAGTAACCGTCAGTTTGACGGCAGCCATTTTGGCCATTAAATGCAGGCTGGTGATGACAGGAACAAAACGGTTCAAGTGTATTATTAATTAACTCTTTATGGATGTGTGAACCTAATAATGAGGTATGGAAATATCCTTTTAATCCAAACCTTGAAAAGAAGTCTCCGTTGTTTGCTGGGCGACCGACATGGATCTTTTTCGTCTGACGGCTTGTGGGAAACAAAGACAAAAACAACCGTGTTTTTGGACACATTATTTTATGGAAATTCTAACCCAAATAAAGAACAAACAGAAATAGGAAAAGCCCGGAGATCCATCTGACTAAAGTTATTACATCCAAATATGAAAACAGTCAAAACGACAGAGTTCTAGTGTTAAAGCTGCAATGACCAATTAGCCTAAAAATGGTTTTCATGCCTCCTAACGTTCTACATGAATGAATATGTTTATTTAAGTGTCATGCACAACACGTGCCCAGACCAGACAGGCTCATAAGACACTTTTAAACATAAAGAAGTGGCCGTACATTTACACAACCTTTATTTTACATCAGGGGTGGAGTAAGGGAGGCACTTATGGGGCTTAAGCCCAAGCTGTTTTTGCAGAAGCCCTGTGTCTTTTGTGATGCATGGCCATCTTGTTTTCCATCAGTTCCAGTTCTGAAGTCCTGCTTTTGAACCAATACCATTTCAGTCCTGGTGTTTGATGTTTTCTTTTCATTCATGATGGTTTGCCTTAACAGTCCTATTACGGATCAGCACCTCCAAATCTGAGGCCATGGTCCTCGACCGGAAAAGGGTGGCTTGCCAACTCCGGGTCGGGAGAGAGGTCCTACCTCAAGTGGAGGAGTTTAAGTATCTCGGGGTCTTGTTCACGAGTGAGGGTAGGAGGGATCGGGAGATCGACAGGCGGATTGGTTCGGCGTCTGCAGTGATGCGGACGCTGAGCTGATCTGTCGTGGTGAAGAGGGAGCTGAGCCAGAAAGCCAGGCTCTCGATTTACCGGTCGATCTACGTCCCAATCCTCACCTATGGTCATGAGCTTTGGGTAATGACCGAAAGAACGAGACCGCGGATACAAGCGGCCGAAATAAGTTTCCTCCGTAGGGTGGCCGGGCTCAGCCTTAGAGATAGGGTGAGGAGCTCGGACATTCGGGAGGGACTCGGAGTAGAACCGCTGCTCCTCCACATCGAAAGGAGTCAGTTGAGGTGGTTTGGGCATCTGGTCAGGATGCCTCCTGGACGCCTCCCTGGGGAGGTGTTTCGGGCATGTCCTGCCGGCAGGAGGCCCCCGGGTCGACCCAGGACACGGTGGAGAGGTTGCATCTCCAATTTGGTCCGGGAACGCCTTGAAGTCCTGCCGGAGGAGCTGGTGGAGGTGAACGGGGAGAGGACGGTCTGGAGCTCCCTAGTTGGGATGCTGCCCCCACGACCTGGACCCGGATAAGCGGAGGAAGACGACGACGAGTCCTATTGCATTCACATTAGCCACTGGATAATAGCCAGCGTCAGGGCTAAGCCCCGGGTGAATGGAGTATCTGGCTCCTCCTCTGTTTTCCATAGCAGGATAAAGTACCATTTGTCTGTTTCCACGCTCTCTATAAATTTTGCTAATGTTAAAATTTCTTGGTCAAAAAGCCAACTTAACATTTCACCATCTGCAGAACAAATGAGGATTTTTACTCTGGATCTTTTCCAACAGGGACATTCTTAGATCGTTATGTGATGGACTATAAAACAAGAAATGAAATTGAACTAAGTCACATAAAACACACTGACGTCGCACCTCCGCTAACCCTTGGTGTCGCCCCACTTCAATAGAAAGAGGCTGGTGTCACGGAGTGTGCAGGTGAGTGCAGCGGAGGTGAGGATCCAAAATGCGGGCAAGAAGGCAATTTTAAAGAGTTTATTAATCATGAACACACGGGGCATGCAAACAATAGACAGACAAGGAACACAGAAGTGGGAGGGTTTAACTCTGAATGAACTGCCAAATGAAAACAGGTGCTTCTTTAAATTATTAAATTATTAGATGAAATATTAAAGCTGAGATGGTCCTAAACTAAGCAAACGAGACAAACGATGAGTTCTGAAATCAACAACCTTTCTTCCTCAAATAAATTCAGTTCAGCGACAAAATAAAGTCTCAAAGCCCTGATCTGACGAACTTATCATAACGTACAAAGTAGCAAAGAAGGTGGAAAACAAAGCCGATGCCCACTTCCGGTGTTGCTATGGAAACAGCGTAAACACGTGTCACTACCCGATCCGTACCGGAAATCCGATCGGTACCACGCATGCGTGAATGTTACGTCATTTCCTCTCTTTGCCAACCTTGCGACAGTTACCGACGGCGGAGGGGGGGGCAAGATGGCGGACTAAGCAGTCGCATCCGTCTGAACTCCTCACTGAAGTCCCGATGTTTTAATCTTGAAGTTATAAAATCCACTCCTTTGAGCTATATTGACGACGTTTCAGCCCGAACATGAAGAAAACCAACAACACGAAACCTCCGGCAGTGAAAAACCTCCCTTTTACAACCCAGAGAAACAGCAAGCATGACTACCCAGCTCCGATGGAAACGGCTGATTCCAGCAGCAACAAGAGGGACAGACTGTTAACAACCCCTGATAATACTCCTGAGAAACCACATATGGAGAAAAAAGCAAAAGGTACGGCTAGTGATAATGACTCCAACACATCCACTGACACTATACTGAAAGCTATTGAGAGTCTTGGAAAACGTGTTGATGACCGCATGGACGAAGTTAGCAAACAAATTCAACAACATAGCGCCATGCTGGCTTCCATCGCTAAATCAGTGCAGTTTAATTCAGAGGAGCTGCAAGAATGCAAAAAGAAAATAAAACACCTGGAAAAAGAGATGGAATCAATCAAAAAAGATAATGACGATATTAAGGATCGTGTATTGAGCCAGGAAAGATACAAAAGAAGATGGTGTCTTCGTATCAAAGGGAAAAAGGAGAAAACAAATGAAAATATCAGAGAAGAAGTGGTGGAACTTCTAGGAAGGATTGCTCCGGACCTAAAGATGAAGATGGAAGAAGCAGTTGATGTTGTCCACAGAGTGGGAAGAGCGGTGGAGAATAAGCATCGACAAATCATCATTCTGTTTGTGAGACGTGCCGTGAGAGATGATATCTGGAGGCGAACAAAGGCTTCTCCCGTGTGCAAAGAAGAAGGCATCCGCTTTGCTGAAGACCTGACCCCAGAGGACTGGAGAGCCAGACAAGCGTTGTGGCCAAAAATCGACCAGGCTCGGAAGGAAGGCAAGGCTGCAGGCTTCAGGGGCCCTTTTGGTTTCATAGAAGGCAAACGTATCAGGGTAGAGACTCCAGGTACGGGCTGACATCTGACTACGAAAGGAATATACAGTGGAACATTTCGGATGATGGGACTTTTACCTCAAGATTTTCCTACTCCATCTCCTAAACTTCCTCTTTAAAGCTTTTCATGTGTTCCGTGTTCCAACTAAAAACTAATATTTCTTTTTTTTCCTTTAACACAAGGGGACTTAAAGACTCAATTAAGCGCAAAGCTGTTTTTCTGTTCTGCAAGGGGCAACAGGCAAATTGTTTTTTTCTCCAGGAAACTCATTCTGAGGAATCTGATGTGAAATTTTGGTCACAACAATGGGGAGATAAAATTTATTTTAGTCATGGTACAAACAGGTCAGCTGGGGTTGCTATTTGTTTCAACAGATGTCCTGGAAGATTTTTGTGCAACATGGCAGACAAAAATGGACATTGGGTTGCCTGTGTGTTAAATACTGATAATACTCTGATTATTTTGGTTAATGTTTATGGATACAACAATGATCAAGAGAATAAGAACCTGCTGCATCAAATTTCTACAGTTATAAAGGAACTTTATACCAAATTCCCTACTGATTATATAGTAGTGGGAGGTGATTTCAATGTGACTCCTGATGAATGGTTGGATAGATGGCCTTCAAAGTTTTCAAGAGAACGTATAAACCCAATATTTGAAAAACTCATTAATGATACTAAATTAATAGATGTATGGAGAGTGTTAAACAAAGATGTAAAACAATTCACCTGGCACAAACCTAATGGTCAAAGCAGGTCACGTATTGATTATTGGTTGGTATCCAATTCAATTTTACAATATGTTAAGGAAACAGTCATCTCTAACAGTCCCTTAAGTGACCATTGCGCCATTACTTCTGAGACTACAAAGCAAAGACCAAAACAACACATTTAAGGATTATTGGAAATTTAATTGTCAGTTGCTGAGAAATGAGGAGTATTGTAATTCTATTAAAAAATTAATTTTAGATATCCAGAATGATGAAGCCATCAATACACCGATACTCAAATGGGAATACAGTATCTTAAATTTAGAATCAGAAAAACCTCAATTGCATTCGGTAAAAAGTTAAACAGACAAAGAAAAGAAGAGGAATCAAATGTAGTAAAAGAACTTATGAATCTGTATGGCAAAGTGAATTGGACTGAGGAAGAAAAAGGGAAAATTAATAATTTACAATCTAAGTTGGACGAAATGTACCTTTATAGAGCCAAGGCTGCTTATTTGCGATCCAAAGCCAAGTGGATAGAAGAGGGTGAAAAGAACACTGCCTATTTTTGCAATCTAGAAACACGTAGACAAGAATATAACTCAATATGTAACCTAATAATCGACGGAGAGGAATGTACAGACCCTAAACGCATTTCAAATGAAGTATTTACTTTTTACAGTAACCTTTATAAGTCTTCATACTCAGAACAAAATGTCACCTCCTTCTTTGACAAAATCAGTAATTGGATTCCAGTAATTGATGATAATTTTAGAAAAATTTGTGATGAAGACCTGACTATAGAAGAATTTGATTTTGCTATTAAGAGCATGGCATCTGATCGTTCACCGGGACCAGATGGCATAACAACTAATTTCTATAAGCACTTTTGGGAAGACCTAAAATTACTATTATTCAGTGCAATAAATGAATGTATAAATCAAAAGGAGCTTATGACAACAATGAAACAGGGAGTTATAAAATTAATTCCAAAACCGGGGAAAGATAAGAAAAAACTAAGTAATCTAAGACCTATAACACTTTTAAATACAGACTACAAAGTTTTTACAAAAGTTTTAGCAACAAGACTAAAAACAGGTATTTCTGAAATAATTAGCCCGACACAATCAGGATTTCTCAAAGGACGGTTGATCCAAAATAATATCCGCTTGGTTTTGGACCTCATCGATTACAATTACCTAATTAAGGATGATGGTTTTATGTTGTTCTTGGACTTCCATAAAGCATTTGATTCTATTGAACACTCTTTTATTATTAAGACATTTAAACATTTTGGGTTTGGTGATGCATTTCTGGATATGATCACTATGTTTTATACAGATATTAATAGTTGTGTTTCTCTTTTAGAAGGCACATGTCCCAGGTTCAGGGTGGAGAGAGGTATCAGGCAGGGCTGCAGCATCTCACCTCTTTTATTTATTGTAGCCATTGAATTACTTGCTATTACTGTCATAAACTCAAACATCAAAGGATTAGACATAAATAATCACAAATTAATAATAAGTCAGCTTGCCGATGATACAACAGTCTTTCTAAAAAATAAAGAACAAATTCCATTGGCCTTAGATACAATAAAGATCTTTTCTGATGCTTCTGGACTACGCCTGAACCTGGACAAATGTGAACTCATGAGTATCCACAATTGTTCTCACTCTTCTTTGTATGATATACCTGTCAAAAATGAAATCAAATATCTTGGAATCTGGATAACTAAATGCATGGCTGATAGTGAAGAAAAGAATATTCAGAATACAATTAATAAATGCAAAAAAAACTCTGAACCATTGGCTACAGAGAGATTTAACGTTGTTCGGCAGGATAATGTTGACCAAGGTTGAATCTTTGTCCAGATTTATCTATCCAGCTTATTCCCTAGCCATCCCACCAAGAATTATAAAAGACATCAATAAGGTGAATTTTAATTTCATATGGAAAAATAAACATCATTATGTTAGTAACAGGGACTTGATAAAAGATTATGAAGAGGGGGGTTTAAAAGCAATCAATTTTGAAATAATGAATGGCATTTTAAAGATTAATTGGCTACGATCTTTCTTGAAAAATGATAATGACATCTGGTTCTTGATACCATCTCTTATTTTCAACAAAGTTGGGGGGATCCAACTCCTTTTAGTATGTGATTTTGAAATTTCTAAACTACCCATAAAACTTTCCAAATTTCATCAACAAGTTTTGTTAAATTGGAAATTAATGTTTAAACATAACTTCAGTCCCCACAATGTTCCATTGTGGAATAATAGGGTGATATTGAATCGGGGGAAATCTATGTTTGTGGAAGAATGGATGACAAAACAAATTTGGTCTGTGACACATATAATAGATGAAAATGGAGATATACTTGAATTAAACAGGCTTAATGAGAAATATAACATGAGTTGCTCGCTCGAGCTTTATAAAAAGGTTTCACAAAATATCCCAACAGTCCTTGTAAATACGGTAAAGAACAATTTTTCAAATATGCAGACTCCAAATTTACATAAAATTAAACTAGATGATCTTGACTTGGTTGATGGAAAATGCAATAATCAGTTTTTAAGGAAGTATTTGATTAACACTTTATATCCAGGAAGGACAAAACATTCACTCATTTTTAGAGATTATAACAAATCTGAGATTTCGTTGATCAGAACCAAATATTTAACATTTCCAATTCCCCCCAAATTTAAAGAAGTCCATTTTAGAACTACAAAAAATATTTACCCCTCAAATGAATTTATGAGAGACAGATTTAAATTTGTGTTAGACAACTGTTATATTTGTAAAACAACTTCGGAAACAACAGAGCACATGTTCTATGGATGTGTGACAATCCAGAATTTATGGAAATCTCTCCATGTCCTAATATTGTCCCAGTATGGATATATTGATTTTTGGTCTTTTCAAAATATTCAAATTGGAGTAATCCTTATGGACAAAAATAGTGAGTTTTTAGTTAACAATCTCATTATTATAACAAAGTATTACATACATAAATGCTGATATGCTAAATCCCCCCCTTCATGACCTGCTCTTAAAAACGAACTCTCCCTGTTCCGTAAATCTCTTAAGCTAATAAATAAGCCCCAAGCAATCAAATTGCATAGATTTTTAGAAGAGTTTGATTTTTCTTAGCCCCTTATTTAAGTTATGTGTCTTGTCTATGGATTGGAACCTCACTTTTAGAGATTTTTGATCCCCCTTGTCTTTTTTTGTTTCTCTTCCTTGTTTTTCTTTTTTCATTTTTCATTCTTTTTTTATTCTTATTTATTTTTGTATTGGTTATTCATCTTTTTATATTATTTTATATAGATGTGTGAATATGGTTGTGTATGTACACATGTGTATATGCAAATATATGTATATATGTGTGCGTGTATATGTTTACTATTAGTTATTGTCGATCTCACTGTGATGTATAGGAGATGTGACTCTGTTCTGTTTGTTTTAATATGTCGCTTTTCTCCTTGAGATTGGTATGGAAGCCCATTCCCGCCACTCAGATAAAATTTAAAAAAAGTATTATCTCATAATTATGACTTAGCTATCTCATTATTATGAGATACTATCTCATTATTATGACTTAGTATCTCATAATAATGAGATAGCATCTCATTATTATGAGATACTATCTCATAATTATGACTTAGTATCTCATAATTATGACTTAGCTATCTCATTATTATGAGATACTATCTCATTATTATGACTTAGTATCTCATAATTATGACTTAGTATCTCATAATTATGACTTAGCTATCTCATTATTATGGGATAGTATCTCATAATTATGACTTAGTATCTCATAATTATGACTTAGCTATCTCATTATTATGAGATACTGTCTCATTATTATGACTTAGTATCTCATAATTATGACTTAGTATCTCATAATTATGACTTAGCTATCTCATTATTATGACTTAGTATCTCATAATTATGACTTAGTATCTCATAATTATGACTTAGCTATGTCATTATTATGAGATAGTATCTCATTATTATGACTTAGTATTTCATAATAATGAGATAGCATCTCATTATTATGAGATACTATCTCATTATTATGAGATAGTATCTCATAATTATGACTTAGCTATCTCATATTTATGACTTAGTATCTCATAATAATGAGATAAATTCTGCTGGCCTCCACGGACTTCCGTTTTTGCACTTCCGTATTTTTCAAACTGCAGCAGCAGCGCAGCACACAACTTCGTTCGCGCTGAGTGGTCAGAATGGCTATTTGTACGCGTTTGCTGCTAGACCTCCCAAGAATAATGGTTAACGATGTACACCGAATCTTTCTTGCCTCGTCCGAAATGCCAAAATCTAGTATGGACAAAGCTTGTATTGTATGTGCCCGGCTACATACACAGCTATGAAGGTAAGCTAACAAACTTCTGCTGTGAGTTACTAAAGATGCTACACGCTAGCTCTCCACTAGCCTAAGTTAACACAATAAGGAAACGTTATTGGAGCGATAAGTAAGGTCATGCGTGTTTTTCGTGTCTGAAATTTAAAAAAAAAAACAGTTTTTATGTTATTCTCAGTTTTAATCATGCAGTCAGGAGAGGTCACGGTTAGGTCCGAGTGTTTCAGGTCAATGAGGAAAAACCAGAAGCCCCACCGTCTGAGTGTAGGGAAACGTTTCCCTGCAGGTTCAGTGCAGGATTGATTCAGGTTCAAAAGAAGACTGTTCATGTTTTTAAACGTCACATTTTTGCGAGTCATATCATTGCTTTTAGTTTGATAACAGGTTAATGACATGCCTGAACTACGTGTGTCATGTGGTATCAGAGATAAAATGTGTCCCAGAAAGAATATAGTAAGTAAAGTTTGTATAAATAGCATGTCACAGAAAGTCAAACATTAGATGACTCGCAGAAGCACAACATTGTTTACAGTTATTTTATTTTTGTCCACTACTTGTTCTACTCTTCTATTTTAAAATGAGTTAAGTGAAGTTAATCATCAATGTTTGTCTCTCCTTAAATGCAGTTGTACTCTAACAAATATTCTGTGTTGTAACAGATTGTGCTAAGGGATTCAAAGCCGGTGGGGGTGCCAGTGTATGTGTGGCAGGTGCAGCCTTGTGATGTCATGTGGCAGCTCAACTCTACCAGACGGCACATTTCTCCTAGCTGAAACTTACATCGGCCCCCCCCACACACACACACACACACACACAGTGTTCAGCTGCACAGAAACTGAACAACAGTGGCACAAAACGGGGACCAAGGTTACAATCTTTTAATGATACTATTATTATGTGTATACATATTTCTGTTATAACATTTAAACTTGTTTTTATTTGGAAACAAGGTATTAAACCAGGTCCAGTTAATGACATGGTCATCATATCAGCCAGACAAAGAGAGAAGAGACCGGTAGAATGAACAAGGTATGTTTTTCTTTCTGGACTGCACGCACACACACACATGCACACACCCCATTTGACTTTTGTTTTTCTTCCCAAGAAGCAGTTTGTAAAAAGGAGTCAGCTTCCCCGATGACAGCTTCATTCTGAAGGTGCAGGAGGCGTACCACAGACTTGGTGCAGATGAGGCTCCGGTGATGACAACCATGGCTGTCTCTGGTGATGTACCTCTGGTTGGGTCCACGTTTGGTTCGGTGCAGGAGGGAAGCGGGCCATCTTACCAACTACCAGTGAGGACGGCCCCCAGGACGCGTCCACACAAAGACAACCCTTCTCTCCCACAACTGTCTCTCTCATTATAGACTGGGACCCTCTGCATGTGCATTTGTGTTTACTGAACATCATCATTTCACATCCCTCACAACATCATTGGGGAAATCATACAAAGCTGAGAACAGAACACAATCGCAGAGTTTCTGTGTGGAGGGGCACCAACTAAGGAGATGCCACATCACTTCGTCCATTTGTAGCAGCGAATATCTCCTCGCTGTGCGTTCTCCTTTTTTAACACCTTAATCTACCAGTAGAAACGTCTCCCAGCATTCCTAGTTGTCTACTGGAGGGATTCATCACTAAATTAAACAAACCAGCTGGGTTCATAATCTAAAACTTGCAGGACAGCGGACCGGGGATGAGAAGCACTGTGTTACTCAAAAAAGTAAAAGGGGACGGGAATGCCAAACTCTAAATATAAACTGGATAAATTGCATTTCTTGTGGTAATGCTGTTTAATTGCTGACAGCTCAGCAGATCCATTGGTAACGTGTTGTGATTTTAGTGTTGGGGGCGAACTGGAGCTCCCAGAGAAAACCCCCATGCAGCACAAGGAGACAGAAATAATCTGTTTCCTGTGAAAACTTGTGCTGCAATATTTTTTATTTTGTTTAGGTTTTTTTGTACTCCGTGGTTCAAGGAGGCACTTCCTTGACGCAATCAACTACTCGGCTCTCTTCACGTAATACTAACTAGACCATTCGGCCGAGCCGCTCCTTTTGATGTATAATTAGTGGGGGTGCCCTCTGCCCTTCGAGCCACATTAACATCCGGAAGGAGAATAAAGAAGGGCTAAAAATCCTCCGGTGAATAGCAATTATAAAGAGCTCAAATCTTCTAGTGCAGAACAATAAGTGGCTTTCAGGGTCAGGGCCTTGAATAAAGAGGAACAGGGAAAGAATGTTTACAGCGTTCAAATACTGAGTGAAATTCTGTAGTGTTATGGATTAGGAAGGATCAGGTTGGTCCCACTAGACCTGAGTATAACTAATAGCAGACCTTTTATCAGCGCTAACTTGTATTAAAGGGATACTAGGCAGTTATGCTTGCTTTTATCACCCCTAGTGTCCTCTTCTTTTAAACATCTTAATCTACCAGTACAAACGTCTCCCAGCGTTCCTAGTAGTCTACAAGAGGGATTCATCACTAAATAAAAAAACCAGCAGATGAAAACATTGCAAATTGTCCCTCAAAAACTCTAAAAACTAAATTGGATGTGACTTACCCTAACGGTTTGGGCCTAAAATAAGAACAAACTTGGGCAATCCTATCTGAACGCTTATTCAGTCACAACGTAAGACCCTGTTTATGGTATGGTTGTGAGTGTGGTGTACGGCATTTCAAACGAGGTTTCTGAGTTGGAGGTGTTTGACTCCGTGTGTGGGGCGATAGTGGGGGCTGTTCGGCATCTGGGGTTTAACGCACGTGATGTCAGGGCTATGGTCTCATTTGCTTAGTTTAGGTTCATCTTACTGAGCAGTTTTGCTTGCTTTTATCATCCTCTAGTGTCCATTTGTAGCAGCGAATATCTCCTCGCTGTGCGTTCTCCTTTTTTAACACCTTAATCTACCAGTAGAAACGTCTCCCAGCATTCCTAGTTGTCTACTGGAGGGATTCATCACTAAATTAAACAAACCAGCTGGGTTCATAATCTAAAACTTGCAGGACAGCGGACCGGGGATGAGAAGCACTGTGTTACTCAAAAAAGTAAAAGGGGACGGGAATGCCAAACTCTAAATATAAACTGGATAAATTGCATTTCTTGTGGTAATGCTGTTTAATTGCTGACAGCTCAGCAGATCCATTGGTAACGTGTTGTGATTTTAGTGTTGGGGGCGAACTGGAGCTCCCAGAGAAAACCCCCATGCAGCACAAGGAGACAGAAATAATCTGTTTCCTGTGAAAACTTGTGCTGCAGTATTTTTTATTTTGTTTGGGTTTTTTTGTACTCCGTGGTTCAAGGAGTTACTTCCTTGATGCAATCAACTACTCGGCTCTCTTCACATAATAATAACTAGACCATTCGGCCGAGCCGCTCCTTTTGATGTATAATTAGTGGGGGTACCAGTAGAAACGTCTCCCAGCGTTCCTAGTTGTCTACTAGAGGGATTCATCACTGAATTAAACAAACCAGCTGGGTTCACTATCTAAATCTTGCAGGAAATATCCTGAAGCCAGACAGCAGCGTCAGGAACCTCAGCTCAATTTTTTCTAAGTCTCAGCAGACCGCACCGGAAACGGTGAAGTTGCAAGTGGACTATTCTGGCCGTGGGGGGGGGGGGGGGGGGGGGGGGGGCGATAGGGGCTGGGTGGCCTTTCATTATCCCTCTAAAGGGTCACTATAGCACATAAAGGCTCAATAAAATTATTTAAAAATACAAATTTGTTGAAAATTGTCCCTCTACTTCAACCTTGATCAAACATTCTAAAAACTAAATTGGACGCAACATACCCTAACGGTTTGGGCGTAAAATAAGAACAAACTCGGGGTGTCCTATCTGAACGCTTAGGCATTCGGTCACAACGTAAAACCCTGTTTATGGTAATAGTCTGAGTGAAGCGTTTGCTCTCTGTAAATATCGCCACAACAGTGTGATTTAACCGTCATGTGTATGCAGAGAAAATGAGCTTTCTGATTTGTGACGTTTCCACACTGTTAAATATGTTCCACCTGAGCTTTTCTACTTGATTCACTCATCCTTGCTTGGTCTTGGCTGACCGTCTTGCCCTTGCAAGTTGAAACTCTTTATGAGCCAGTTTATTCTTCAGCTCTCCATTCTCTTTCTTTAGTTCAGCGAATTCTACTATAACATCAGCGCACTCTTTCTGCAGTTCAACTTGCAATTTAATTTTCGTCAATTCAAACTGCTTTTTGAGTTCAATGATTTTATGTTCAAATGAGTTTCTGACGCTCTCCACATCTCTTTTGTGGTTCTCCAGTTCATTCTGGTGGCCCTCAGACCACGTTAGAAACCTGGACAACTCTTCATCTTTGCTGTCTACATACATTCTCATTATATCCAAAAATGCTGATTTAAATTTGACTCTGCTATCTATTACTTTATGACAGCTGGTCAGATCTCGCTTCATTTTCAGAAACTCGAATTTCAGAGGCTCCACTTGTCCCAGGATTTCTGTATGTTTCTTGTGTAACTTCTGGTAGTCCTCCAGGAGCTCACGGTGTGTGCTTGAATACTTTTCCTTTTGGGCAGCTGCTTCTAAAGCCACTTTCTGTTTAGCTATTTCATTACGCAGCTGTTTCTCCGTGCGTTGAGCCTGAGCTAACTTGTTTTGGCATTCTTCCAACATTGGATTCTGTGTCATTAATTTGTCCTCAAGGATAGCAATTTTCCTTTCTTTTGTTTGGAGTTCTGTTGAATGATTGTTTCTGGTTCCTCTGAGAAAATCCAGTTCACGAAGAAGTTTTTCTATGTCTCTAGACTGGTTCAACCTAACTTCTGTCATTTGCATAATTATTTTTTCATACCTGTCCACTCTTGTGTCCAAATCTATTTTCATTTCAGACAATTCCAGCTCATATTTTTTTCTAAGAGGTCGTTCAGTCAAGACTTTCTCGTTCAGCTGTTTATTTTTATTGCGGGTTTTACTGAGAATTGTCGTTAAGTTCTTAAGTTTGGTGTCATTTATTTGAATTTTCTTTTCTTTTGACCTCTTTTCTTCTTGGCATTGTGAGGTACAATTGGTGATTTTCTGGTCCAGCTGAACCTTTAATTCTTCATTCCTTTGTTCCAATTTCATTATATTCTGCTTGGCTTCTTCAAGTTGACGTTCACAAACTCTAAGCGGTGTGTTAAATCTGTCTGAATATTTTAAGTCCTGTAATTCTTTTGATAATTCTTCTACCTGCTGTGTCAGATCCTCAGTCCTCTGACGAAAACACTCATTTAATCCAGTAGATTTGTCTAAACTCTCTTTCAAACTCTCTAATGCTTTACATGAGCTTGTCTCTCTCAATGTCGTGAAGGCATTATCCAATGTCTGATATTTATTTTCCATGGCTCTGATTGTCTCCTGGAGAGTAGAAATTTGAGAAAGGAGTTTGTCTTCAGCAAGCTGTTTTTCGTCTACAACAAGCTGTTGTTCCTCTAATTTCTGTTGCAGGATTTCTACCATACGTTCAGCTTCTCCTGGATCGGAGACTTTCTTTGACCATTTCGACAAGGTCGACCCTAAAATGCGATTATATTTACGATTTATGTCTTCATATGACTTTGTGAGTTCTTCAACTTTCAAAGTCAGTTTCTGTTCTGTACTCTTTTTCTCGTCTAAAGTACGTTGCCAAGTTAAATTAGAGCATTTAGAAAGTTTCTCAGCCGTTTTCAGATCCCCTCTAAGTTTTTTAACTTCTTCATTGTGGGCCGCCTTCATCAGCGCTATTTCCTCGTTTTTCTTTTTTAAGATAGACTCCAATTCCTTTATTTTAGAAGGCATGTTTATTCCTCTTCTCTCAGCGGCTAGCTGCGAACTGTGGTGTGTGCTAGTTGTGTGCAGTCGGTAAGACGGCTGTCTTTGATGACGTCACGCGCTCTTTGCTTTAATTTGTCACGCGTCACGTGATGTACGGTCGTCCAGCGTCAGCGTAAGAAGTGATCGGTACCACGCATGCGCGACAGGCGTCTACTTCCGCTCGAAGCATTTTACGATAGTTACGGGTCAGAGTATCTGTTAAGACGTTAAAAAATAATAAGTATCTATTAAAATGTTTGCAATAGTGAAACATTTCAATATAATGTAGATAAAAAGAAAAAAAAAGAAAACGTCGGACCGTACAGATCGGGTCTACCGCGCATGTGCAGATGCTATATTCGTCTTGTGATCCGTTCAATGGCAGTTTACTCCGCAGTGTACGAGGATACTGCCACTTGCTGACCGAGCGAATAAGCCCGATTGTAAACTGAATTTGCGTTGTTACAAATCGTGTTTTTACATGCGTGTTAAATTTGATTTAGTGTGTTTATGCTTGTATGTGTGGAGACGATTGATTTGAATTATCTTGATGTTCTGTTGATAATGTCCACTGTAAATTGTCAGTAAACACTGGCTGATTAGTCTTCAGGTAACCTATTACATGTTTGTTTTTTCTCCACACAATAGGTTATATTTTCATTTAAAAGCTGAAAATATGTCACTGTGATACAGCAGATATTCTTAATTTGCACTACATGTCCTATGAATGTTTTCCCATATGAAATGTAATATATTCTTGCACAAAAGCCAATTTGGCTCATCACCTAAAATTTTACTTTCTACTTTTGTGTTAGATTTCTTAGTTTGCCACTTTGTCTTGAAATAACTTAATTCTTTGTAATACCATAGTGATCATTTTCACAATGTTGCAAAATTAATGTTTGAAAATAGTTTCTCAAGGTATTCATAGGTTAAACATGTTAAATACAGATTTAACTACACTCATGTTTATATCCATATAAAATAACACAGGTCCACTTTATAATTTCCACAGGTTTACTGTAATAATGCAGAACACAAACAACAGATTACAAGAGCATGAACAACAGAAAAAGGATTGAGAGGATGGTTACAACCCAGATTATTTGAATAAGGAGACACATATTGATGGAAATAAAAAGCTTTTTATTTTCAGCCTGTCCTTTCTGGCAGTGTGGTACTCTGAGTACCAGGTACAAGCCCAACAGATTCACTTTCTCAAACAGAGTGTTACAGTGTGTGTCCTGTCACAGTGTCCCGATTGATCATGCGCCCTGGCTACTTGACCAAGGGGATGTCCCTTTGGCTGACTGGTTAGAGTGTATGACTCTCACCCGGGAGTCTGGAGATCGAATCCCGCCCGGGCCCTCGTTTATCCACCTTGCCACAAGAGCATTACAGTTTTTGCTATAGAACTCCAAGAAGAATGATCAAAAACTCTCACAAAGAAAAACAGGCATCAAAGCACAAACCAAGATGTGGGAGAACCACTGATGGGGAACCTGGTCACTACAACCAGTGTGGTGTGTGTGTGTGTTCTTGTACATACTACATACTGAGGACCATTTTGACCATTTTCCCTACAAAGTGAGGACATTTTTTGGTCCTCGCTTTTTTTAGAAGCATACCAGAAGCTTACTATACCAGTTAGAGGCATAGTGTGAATTAAGTTTTAGTTAAGGTTAGGGTTAGGAAAAGATAAGCGTTGGTTATGGTTAGGGTTGGGGTATGGGTTAGGCATGGTGAAATCACAAAAATGAATGGAAGTCAATGAAGGGTCCTCACTATGATAGAAAGACAGACGTGTGTGTGCGTGCGTGTGAGTGTGTGGTTGTGTGTGGAGACGGGGGCGGCGACAGAGCAGACACATTAATTGTTCATTTGGCTGCAAAAGTGGCTGCAGTAGCCTGGGAGCATCTCCTCCGAGTAAAGTGCCCTTGGTTCTCCTCTTTTTCCTTTCCCTTCCCCAGGTCATCACCATGGACAGGGAAGCTTGCCGGAGGGCAGTGGAGAGGTTATGCTTCTGTGATGGCCTAGATGAAGAGGAGATGAACGATTGCAGGGAACCGTTCCTGTTCATGTTTAGTTTTCAGTCAGACTATGAGGAGTTCTGCAGAGAAATTGAGGAAAAAAGGAAGATCAGGGTGTTTTCTGGCTTTGAAATGCCATAGTACAGCGGTGTCACAGTTTTTGCATTCTTTTTCCTCCTCACATTGTTTTTTTGGAGGTTCTCTTGCTTTTTGTGTGCTTTTTGGTTCATTTGTTTGTACTTTTTTTTTCCTGTGTTGGCTGTTTGCTCTATTAAATTTACCTTTATTGAAAAATTTAGTCTGCATTCTTGGGTGTCTCACACAATGTCTCACCACCCCGCCTCAAACCCTGGCATGTTTTAAGAAGTATCAGCACAATTTAAGTCTCTGGTCCTCTTAATGTAGCTGATATAACTGAGTGTACAACAAATTTACCCGTGTCTGTACTGTTTTACACTCACTTGGGAAATGACTATTAAAATAAAGGCGGCATTGATAAAATCAACTATTAAAATGGTTTTGACAGGTTTAAAGAATAGTCTATCAAATGCCTGAACCTTTTATATAGGTACCAAAAGTATAGCTAAAAGACACAAATACCTATGTGCTATAAATACACATACCATACAAAAGTAGAAAAAAGAATAAAAATATCAGAACAGATTGGATCAAAAATGGCACCTGTAATTATCTGCTCTTTAAAATTATCATGACATCCAGCAAATAAGTCATTTGATTACCAATGTTATGCTTTACATGGGTTTTGTGGGTTTTTAGGGCTTTTTAATCCTTAGAAAGGGGCTACTCGCGGTTTCCTGGTTCCATTGAGAGAGGGGCAGGAGTCAAATAGTTGTCTCCACCCACCTCTAAACGTTTAACTCCGCCCACATTTAGCCCCGCCCCGATCTCCGGGATGCAGCCAGGGGCTACTCGAGTGGAGCCGCCCATTGGTTTGTCAGGGTGAAGTTCGTATGTCCCAGGCGTCTCTGAACACGTCACCGAACTTTTTCGAAGGGGCTGTTGAGGTGAAGAAAAGTGGTTTATTAGTGTGGGGCGTTTAATATGTCGCAGGTTATCGCGTGAGAAGCGGATTATATAGCTATCTGGACATGCTCCAAAAGACTTTACGGAAGTTTTCCAGCTTTGACAACTTTGCTGAGCTGGGTGTTTGACTGCTCTGATTTCTGTACCTGGACTCGTTCAAAGCGAACCATGTCGCAGCCGGAGCAGAAAGAGCCCACCCTGAGCTCGGATGCACCTAAACCCGCTCCGGTGAACCCCAGAGCGGTCTGTAGCGTGTGTAAACGCCTTTACCGGGACCCTAAAATCCTCCCCTGCCTTCACACGTTCTGCTCCGACTGCATCGGCCAGCTGGAGGCGTTCTCGGTGTCTTCTCGTGGGAACGGGAGTTGCGGAGAGGCGGTGAAGACAAGCCGACAAAGCGTCACAACAACGGTACTGTGTCCCGAGTGTGACTCCGAAGTGGACCTCCCTCAGCAGGGTCCGGCCGGACTGAGTACAGACCACCTGGCGCTGGACGAAGTGTTCCTGGAGACCCTGGTGACCAACGGCCCGCTGGGATGCGACCTGTGCGGGGAAGGAGGCGCTGAGAGCCGCTGTGAGGTCTGCTCGGTCAACCTTTGCGAGTTCTGCTGCCAAGCTCACAGGTGGAGTAGGCCCAGACCTCCTAGCTTCATGTCTATTTATGTCACAATCAGATTGAAAAGTTTAGCCCACAGGTGGTGCACATTCTCACAAGCTCCTCATCTTCCTTCTCTGCTGTGCTAAAGCTCTTGGGATAGAACCTTTCTAGAGTTGAAACAAAATCCAAATACCTCTAGTTTGGTACTAAAAATCACATTTTTTAAAACATAGATATTGAGTTGGAGAACATTTCAGAGTCCGACTTTTAAAGAGACTGCAGATATTGAGTTTTAGTAGCCGGAGGTAGAATTTATCTGCTTGGTGTTGATTAAAACTTCTGAGGATACCGTGAATCCTCTAATACAGACCCGGGCCTGTATTTGACTCGAGCTCATCAAGCTCCAGGCCTTTATTGGAAGGGGGGCCAGTATTAGAGGCAGGCCTCTATTTCTATTTGAACAAAATGAACTAATGGTTCGCTGGAGTTTTTGACAATTAAAATTGCGCCCACATTTTCAAAGTTAAACACATTTCTTTTAACAACGGTAGTTTCTGCTTCAGCCCTCTCCCCCCTCCCCCTGCGCAGCGGCCGCAAACTCACTGATGCACCTGCAGCCTCTCAGAGTTCCTGCTGCTCTAAACATTAAAATAATTATTTCATTTTCTGTTCCTCACTTCTGATTACCTTCAATGGTGTCTGTTTGTTGCAACCAGCAGGTACAAAAACTAACTTGTTTTTATTTGACTATTTTTCTGTCCTGTCTGTTTATTATCTTCCTGCATCTCCTCTCAATCCTAAAAAAAACTGCTACCTGGGTTCATATATATTCACCTCATGAGTTACCTTTGAACTGCAGTTCTAAAAGATCTACCGACCGCAAAAACAGCGGAGCGCTTGCTGTTTGGCGGCTGTATCAGTGATCAGTGCGTCGGAGGACAAGGTGATGCGCGCAGCGCCCCGCTCCACAGCATGCAGCGAAACGCATCAGCCGCAAATAAAAGACAGAAAACATTAAAGGAAATGAACTGACATGAACGATCGCGTGTTAAATTAGTTTTTGAGGTGGCGACACCTGATTGTTACTGTGGCCGTGCTCAGGAGGCAGATCTACCGACCGCGAAAACAGCTGAGCGCTCCCTGCTGTGATCTGTGCGTCGGAGGACAAGGTGAAGCGCCCCGCTCCACAGCAGCGATACACATCAGGCGCAAATAAAAGACAGAAAACATTAAAGGAAATGAACCGACATGAACGATCGCGTGTCAGTACCTACGGTCTGGCACTTGAGTTTTACCCCCAAAAAGAGAATGTGATCATACGATAATTCAATAGGGAGCGTGGTTTCACAGACGCGGAAGTGATAGTGTCGGTGAAACGCCGGCTGATCTAGGAAACCCCCAAGCGTTCGAGCGTCAACGAAGTGACACGGAAATGCCGGGCTTTCCAGAAGTAAGTAAGATAACTTACTATGAGCTGATAGTTCGTTGGATTGATCGGTACGTTGGAAACTCTGATCGTGAATCTGAAGAAACGATGACTGAGTGGTGAGCTGGAAAGGCGACTTCCGTTTATACGTTTTTTACAATTTAATTTTAATGTAACGTGTGGTTGTGATAATATTTAACATACAAAACAAAAATAATGAGGAAATTATCATGTAGATAATAAAATCTTAAACCAAAACAGGAAATTGATGTTAACCTTTGACCTCATTTTCCACCTGCGAACGAGTGAAAGGTAGAGCTAGTGGTAAAATGGATCGGTTTTTGTTGCCCACATTTCCACGGGTTCAGTCAGAAACAAATGAATCTTTGGAAGTGATCTCAGACCCACAAAAACATACGGATCTGGATGAAGAGAGTCAACCCTCAACCGCCGCAGTAGTCGAGGGTTTTGCCGCTGGAAATGCTAACACTAACGTTAGCTTACCTTGCAACACTATAGATGGTTTTCTGTGTGGCTGTATGTGTTTATGATTTCATGGACAAGTCAGCGATTGTTCATATGTTTATGATGTATATTAATGATTGTTTCAGGTGTTGTTGAGGTTTTGTGCACGCATGTGTATCTGCTAGTGTTGAAGGTGTTTTAGAGAACAATAGGTACGCATGACCACTTCCTTCATAGCACCCTCAATAAAAAAACTAGCTCCTTCATAGCACCTTCAGAAAAAAAATTTCTGGAGCCGCCACTGCTCTAGCCTATTAAAGAAACAAAGTTCATCCTTCTAGATATGCATTTGGGGGCTGTGCAAAATCACAGAAGGCCACAAATAGCCCTACGGACATTCCTGATTTGGAGCCACTATATTAAAATGCACATGCCTAAAATGTATCTAAACAAAAGCTGAGCCACTACTATCCAAACGGGGTTAGAACTTGTATAAATGTGCTTTTCATGAACCTCGGGGCATGGGAATGTACAAAATAATATCTCTGGAAGCTTTACTACAGGTCAGTTGATGCATGTCATAAATGGTTCAGTGGGTTTTGCCCTCATTCTATCACCTTTGTTGAGCTGATCATTTTTTCAAAACACCTTCAGACTAGCCTTCAGAAGGACAATATGAACATGTTTACAAAGTTTAATGTGAAAACATTTCAATAAGAATACACACTTTTGTTAACTAACTTGTTTAGGTAGTAATTTAGAACAAATAGTTGAATTACACGGCCTTAGTTTGTCTCATTTTGTCCAGATGCTCTCACCCTAACACTCAACAAAGCGTTTGTGTTGATCCAGGGCATGGCCCGTCCACTTAAACCCTCAAGAACTCAGTTAAGCAACAAAGATTAATACTAAAGTGTTCAGAGAATCTTCAGCAAAGCTGAAACCTTCCTTTGTATTTTGATTTGTCATTAATGTGGGAGTTACTGCCACCTAGTGGTGTGGTGCTCATGAGCCTATCCAGATGTGTGAAAACCTGCTCTCTGCATCGTGTCCAGACGTCAGAAGCGAACAGCGTCTCACTCTGTTCAGGCGGTGGAGGACCTGAAGGCTCGTGGACGTCTTGGTCGTCCCATCCTCTGCTCTCTTCACCCCGGCCAGGAGCTCAGGCTCTTCTGTCAGCTCTGCGACCTACCCGTATGTCTGGACTGCGCTTCCACGCTGCACAGAGACCACCACTGCTGTCCTACGCACGACGTCATCGACCATCACGGTGACCGTATTCGAGATCTGGTCAGCACGCGTCTACGACCCCGACTGGAGCAGATGGAGGAAGTTCTACAGAAGGTTCAGAGAGGCCGTCTCTAAGCCCATTCTTTTGTTATCTAAAACACACTTGGTGGTGCGGCTTGTTAAGCTTTGTTTTTTATTTTGTTTAATTTTTCCTGATATCCTGCTACAGGTGGAAACTTCCCAGGAGAATTTGAAGGTACGGGTCGAGGCAACAGCCAGTGAGATCAGAGCCTTTGCTCGAGGCTACGCCAGCGCTGTGGAGGCCCATTGTCTGTCTCTGCTGCGGCGCCTAGAGGAGCTTCAGGTCCAGCGCAGGTACGACGGGGTTTCCGCGCAGTAGTAGCAACCAGGGCTGCTCGATTATGGCAGACATGATCATCACGATTATTTAACTGAAACTGAGATCTTGATTATTTAAGATGATTTTTAAATTAATGTTGATTTTATGTTTATATGTTTGTATTTGCTCATATGATTGCACAATCAGAGAGAAAAAAACATGAAAAATAGAAAGAAACAAGGTAATCGCAAAAACAACTGATTCCTAGTACAAAGGAGCCGATACACTTGCTCATGACTGAAGGAGTTTAACCCTCCACCCCGTCTCACGGCGCGTGCCGCGCACGCACATTTTCTCAGCGGCTTGGGAGCTAGGCCTTAGAGCCGTTTCATTTTGTAAACGAAACACTTCACTACAGCATTCCCTTCCGAATGTCCAGAAGGACGCTCTGACCTGCAGGAATTATAAGCGACAGTAGAAAGTAGCTAAGGGTTACCAGAAGTGTTTTGTAATGATTTAAATTACATGTTATTTAATAAGCCATAAGCCATATGATTCCATAGTAAATATGAAATCCACCTTATGGATCTGACTGTGGGTACTGTTTAACCAGAAGATTGGAACTTTTTATTGCAGGGATTAGATAACAGCTTCGAATTCACTCAGAGACAACAGAAGAGCGAGTCAAGTTTAAAAGTTTAAAGATTTATTACTAAACAAATTAAACTAGACTAACTTTAACACTAAATGTATGGTGTAACTAAGGTGAGTGAGACGGAGAATGGTGTAGTGTGGAATGTTGCTCAGAACCAGCAAATCCGAAGAAACGATTAGTTCTGAGGGGAAATGAAGGTGATGTCTTCGCATTAAGCTTTGGTTAGAAGGTTCATAAACACATTCAACGCCATTTGTCGGTCTACGTACCCGTCTAGATCAGGAGGTGTAGAGGTCCAGCTTGACCTTGTGGAGCCGGAGCATGTAGAAGAGCCACGGCAGCCGACCACCAGTCTTGAGATACTCCCAGGTCACGACAGTTTGTTGGCATCTAGCGAGACCCAAACCTGGGTCGTGATGGTTCAGCTTTTATTGTGAAATGAACCGTTGCAGCAGTTGGAACAGCAACAGATTTTATCCAGCTTGTCGTTGGTTCTTTTGGCTGAAGAGGAAAGTTACGGATTGGCCACTCCGACAACTTCTCTAGAACGCTTTGAACTGGCGTTGGAGATGGCGCGGCCAAAATTGGAGACCCGGCCTTTAATTGAATGCCTGCCTGTATTAGAGGATTTACGATATATATTTGGAGAACACTGTTGCTACACTTACTGCTTGTTTTACTGACGAGAGAGGTGAATGTTCAGCTGCATCCGTGGCGAGTGGCGTGTCAGATGGTTCGCTGAACGTGACAGAAGCGGCAGCTGCAGGAGCTGATTGTCGGCTCAGGAGAGTGTCCAGCGTCTCTCGTCTCTCCGAGGGTGTTTAGGCCCCTTGTGTGGGAAAATGGCCAGTAAAGCATTTAGTTTCTGCCCTCTCTTATACCCAGCCGCTCCGGTGAGCTCTTAAAGTATTTGTGGTTGACTATAAGCCTCAAACGCATCAGGAGAAAAATGTTGGGAACACAGCCTTCTTTTAGAATTCTGAAACTTTCTTTGGGAAGTTGTGTCCGTCCACAGGCATCTTCCCACTGCTTTCTCCTCTTCTTGCCAGTGGGAAAGCTGTGTAAAGTCACATCACTCCCCTTGTTGCCCTCTGACTGGAAATTACATCCAAAAGCAGCACAATGCAGCATTTTACTTAATAATTAATACAGTGAGCGCGTAAACAAACACTAGCGTCAATAGCTATTCTTCCAAGTGCAGCCAATATCCGTCATTGCCCCTAGAGTGCATTGCATGCAGAAAGCATGGCGTCCTGCATATGTCAAAAAATGTACTTAATATTTTAGATATATAAATAAACGGCTATATTTTGTGTGTTTCTAACAACATAGTTTGATACAACAGAAAACTTGTGGCTTATTAGGGCATCCACGTCCTCTTAGCCGGAGTTCCTTTTAAGATGGTGACTTCACATTTCTGTTTATAAATGTTCTTCTGTAGCCGACAAACAGCTAAAACATGTTGTTTTACAAGTATTATTCTCATGTCATGTTTTGTTCTCATATATTTATATCTTAGAGACTTACTTGTTCGTGAAAAGTTCATCAACTCTGCATCAGTCGAGGTATTCCTTAAATTTGAAGCATCTAAGCGGTAGTCTAATGATATTGGTTAGTTCTGGTCTGCACTCCGTTTCCTATTGCACAGAGCTCTGTGGGGCAGGGGGCGTGGTTAGCAAAAACAAAAAAAACTTGTCTTAGTTTCTACATTACATCACAGTACATGATGAGATAATCACTTTTACGGATTTCTGACAATCATACATCATTTCTGAAAGGGGAAAAGCTACTTTAAGGCCCTCGAGGCTAATAAATAAGTTTGGTAGTAACATTTTCTCTGCCCTTAATTATATTAATGTTTATTTGTTTGGTTTTAAGCTCTTTAAACTAAACATCTACGAGTGGGACTTGAGTAAAACATTAATCTAAATGATGCGTTCAATTCCCACCCCTGAACAATCGTATTAACCGCGTTCGTGAAGCTCTTCTAACCAGAACAGAAAGAATGAAGTGATAAAAACATCAAAGCTAAACAGGAAGTGAATGCTTAGGAAACATTTATCCACCCGTCTTCTGCTGCTCAGCTGGAACTGATTGGTGGAAAACGGCCTAATCAGAGATCCCCTTTTTCCCAGTATCCTGCTTATCATTTGATTTTTCCTACTCGGAGGTGGGGATTTCCGAGGACAAATCAAATGCACAGTTTGTCTGGCCATGACCCACACAGCCGTGGGACGGAGTCTACAGTTGTCCTTCAGACTGTCTCTGCTACAGTGCAGAGTGGCTAGACCGGTCTGCAGAGCTAAATCTGTAGCGAGAACCAGAGTTTATGGAACTCCTTCCATTAATCATCCTATCAAATCTGACCCTGAGCAGCTGGTTATTCTTCAGTAATCTGTAACCTTTTAACAGCAGGACCACTGAATCCAAGCCTCATCTGTTTCCCACAGAAACGTCCTCCACCTGCAGAGCGTGCAGCTGCAGCAGGGCCTGCTGGATGTCCGAGGCAGTGTGGCGTTTGCCGAGCGCCTCCTGAGCTGTGGGTCTGACGCCGAGATCCTCAGCGCTAAAGGAGTGACTCTAAGACGACTCGCCAGCCTGGCAGAGAGAGGCTATAACCCTTGTCCAGCGGCGGTCGCCCCAGACGATAGCAGCAGCATTTGCTTCCTGCCCAGAGAGCCAGCCGGAGAGGTGGAGGGCTACCCAGTGGTGGGTGTGATTAACTGGAGGACGCTGGATGTCAGCAGGTGCACCATTGAAGGAGAAGGTAAACAAAGGCAAAGTGGTGTTCTGTCTGTGTTCCTGTAAGATAAAGAGAAGGTGATCTCGGGACTGGGTTTGCACATCCTGTTTTACTGGTCACAGAAACAAGTCAGTGGTCAGACTGAGCTGATAGACCAGTGGGCGTTCCAGAATTCCTCCTGAACCAAAGGAATGCCGGTGTGACTCAACATGCCTTCTGGGAATGTCCTTAGAGGATGCTGTCAGGTCCAGACATGTAGACAGAAAGCTTCAGGACACTTTCTGGAGACAGTCATTTATTTAGAGCAGACTCTTCAGAAGGTCTGGAAACAAAAACGTGTTCTACTCATGTTCTCACCTCAGGAACCCACAGTAGGTTTGCTCGGGTTATATATGGCCCGCGGGCCTTGACTCTGACATATGTGCTGTAAAGGGTTGTTTTAGCACACACTGGCTCAAGAAAGTGACTTGAAAATTTGCAAAGTATTTAAGCTTTAAGGCTTCACGACCTCAGAAATGTAAAAACTTTAACACAAATAATCGTTATTTCAGTTTTGACCCAAATTAATCATCTATCAGCGGTTTAACATCTGAGGCATCTCTGTCCACCGTTTCTGCAGTAGCAGCGGTTTCATCAACATCAGCGGCTTCAGGATCTCAGCTGCTTGTGGACAACACTGAGTGATCAGATAATCAGTCTGACAGATGTCCAGCGTGACATTAATCATTGATGCGAACACAAAGTCTGTCAGCAGTGACACGACTGCAGCAGCAGCTGGATGTCTCGAGTGAGTGAAAGCGGGAGAGTCTGGAAAACTGATCAGCATCCGGAGCTGATCTGGAAGCAGTTGGCAGCGTTAGGAAGGACGGGAGTCATGGGTGGGCTGGGGAATGAGAGTTAATTCCACATTACAGCAGGCTAAACATCCAAATCCACATTAAGAGTCAACAGCAGATCTTAAAAGAGCTTCCTGGCTGGTGCCCCTTACACATGAACAAGCTATGTTTAGATTTATCCTCTTAGTCCTGCAGTACATTGTCTGTGTTCAGCTGTGTGACCTTTAACCTTTAGCCTGGTTACAGGTCTGCGGCGGGGCAGCGAGGGCCAGCCGGGCCGTTTTAGCCTGGTGTGTCGAGACTCAGCCGGGGAGCAGATGGCTCGAGGAGGAGAGCAGGTCCTCGTCAGCATCGTCCACAAAGAGAAGAAGAACTGGTGAGGGCTCTGCCCGCCTCTGTGGGGGATGCTTTGTTGGTAATGATTATTTGGTATGTATACTTTATAATACCCATTAATGGTTGTGTCCTTCAGCGCTGTGGAGACGGTGGTGGTGGACAACGCTGATGGAACGTACAGCGTTTCATACAAGCCTGAGGAACCAGGACCTTACTCTGTGTGGGTTTGTGTCAAAGCCCAGCATGTGAAGGTACTAAGGGCTGCACCCAAACAAAGGATACAGGTAGACAGGTGCTGGACTCACCTGGAGCTCACAGCTCCCCTCTCCTCCCTGCGGGGTTCTCCGTTCCTGCTGAATGTGAAGAAGAAGTTCAGACACCACGGTGGGACGTTCCACTGCTGCTCCTTCTGCTCCAGTGGAGGAGCCAAAGAGGCAATCTGTGGCTGCGCAGGAACGATGTCAGGTACTGGGGACAAGTCCGCTCACACAGGAAGCTGTCACTGTGTCACACCTGGTCTTTGGTATCTTACCAAGATGTGGAAATGAAAAGTTCTAAACTTTTAGTTTGTAGCAGGCGCTCTATAAACACGAGCTAACGCTCCAACCATTCTATCTCTGTTGGGGTCATCATGAGGGTCTTTGTTGGCCTGATGAATGCGAGATGTTTCATTCACATGGACCAGAGCGTGAGCCCGTCTAGATGTCCTTCCTGTGTCTCTGCAGGAGGGTTTAAAGGCTGTGGTCACGGTCATAAGGGACATCCCGGGAAGCCCCACTGGTCCTGCTGCGGCAGCACCACTGAGAAGTCTGAGTGTTTACCTCCGAGCGTGTTGGCTGCTGTCTCTCCTCGTGGACATCTGCGCACCGTGGAGCTGTGAGGGACCCAGAGATGAGAACACAGATCCATCTATATTCTTGTCGTTGTTATAAACAACATTACAATGGAACAAATGCAGAGCTCTCAGTCAAAAACGGTCTGTTCTCTGGTGTTCACATGTCTGTGGACAATTATTTCACCTAAATGAAAATGTGAAATCATTCTTTACTTGTTTCCATCATATAGAGGATTTTTTAATAAATGACATCTAAAAAAAAAACACTATTAAATACAGCCATGATGTGTTGAGCTCCACTGTATCCCCTCTGTGGGCAGATCATGGCTCAGAAGAACAACACATCTCCTGGTAGACCATGCTGACTAACACTAACCCAGCTGAATGTTGCCGACCACAGTCTCCTCCAGTAACTGTAACAGCCCAAACCACTACACCACCTCCACCTTGGGTCTAATCCTAACCCTGGCTCTAACGAGGTTACCCTAACCCAAACCACTACACCACCTCCACCTTGGGTCTAATCCTAACCCTGGCCCTAACAGGGTTACCCTAACCGAAACCACTACAACACCTCCACCTTGCTTTGTTGTGGCTCTAATCCTAAAGGTTGGTTTATGCTTGACGCGTCCGTGAGGTCCGCACGGCTCCGCGCGGAAAAGTTGCGTCATTTTAACAACCACGCCCCTCCACCGCACCTCCGCACGGCCCAAAATTTCCGCAGCGCGCACCTAGGAAATTTTCTAACCACGCGGACGGTCGGACGCGGAAAAGCATGGCGGACCGGCAAGAACTAGTATGGCAGAGGTTCATAAATACAGACATTTGTGTGATTCAGCTCTCAGAGATCACCGCGATCAACATGTTGTTAATAATTCTTGGAGAGAAATAGCTCGCACTGTCAGAAAAGACAAGGACCCTGTTAAAAATGCTGGAATGCCATGTTGTAAACAACAGTAATTTTTACTTCTACTATGGTGTAGTGTTGGATGCATGTCGTAGAGCTCCATGCTGCCCCCTACAGTTTGGGAGAATATCGGCTCACCGCAGAGACAAGCCGCTTGAACCATAAACGCTGCAAGTTGTGAAGCGCGTTCCATCCGCGAGCCGCATCACCAAGCGGAAAGTAAATGCGTCAACCATAAACCAAGCTTAACCCTGGCTCAAACAGGGTTACCCTAACCCAAACCACTACACCACCTCCACCTTGCTAGTGTCTTGCCTCTAACAGGGTTTCTACACCAAAGAGGTTCCTGTGCTTGTCCTTAAAAAATAGTCTTGTGACCCATAATATCTGTCAGACAGATTAGACATACACGACTATTGTAAGAAAACCACCCATTTGTAGCTTTTCCCTCCCCCGCCCCCAAATTCCAGGATTTTAGGTAAGAACATATACAATTCTTGAAAGCAGAAAAACTGAATTTATTGGAGGAAAGAAGCTCTGAGTGTCTCTAAATGAGCTGCTGATCTGAGTAAAAGTGAAACCAACTCAGAGATTTTAGACTTGGAGCTCATGTTTTCCTCAGCTGTTCTCTTGGAACCAGCAGATGGTGCTGGGAGAACAGCCAGAGCTCTTGGTAATGGGAACACGAAGAACTGGTTCACTACTGGAACTGGAAAAAGTGGACCATCCATCCATTCCCAGTTGCTTAACCTTTTTTTCCTTTCAGGTTTTTATGCCATTAATTTGTGTTTTTTCAAGTAGTGCAGAATCACAAAGGTGGATCTGCACCAGAGTCAGCCCCGCCCATTCACGCAAACTCAGCCCAGCCCACTGACTTCTTCTGTTTGTTTTTTTTTTTTGTTTGTTTTGTTTTTTTACTTTATTGCAAACTAACCTGACCTACATGAACTACGGCTGTTACTAGTTTACAGTTGTTAATACTAAATTCCAATTAAGCAAGATAAGTATAATTTGCTACATGAAATGAAAGGTTCTTTTCAGCAAATTTCTGCCCACGGCCGCTCCGACAAAATGCGCCTAAACCAGGGTTTTAGGCTAACCGATTATTGTATGAGCTCTGGTAGTCCAGTGGTGTAACGGTCTGACTTATGCTTCGTTTTGCCCTCTGCTGACGCTGGTTTGACTCTCACTGGGGTCGGCAGTAATGTATTTAGCCAACTGAAACAGATTTAATTTATTAATATTTTAGTTTTATTGATTATTTTCTACAAAATATTTTATGTCTCTAAAAAGGTATTTGAATTTGGTTGTTTCTAAGCAGCATTTTAGTTTAAACTCTGGACCCACACTGGCTAAATAAACAAAGAAGGTAAAAACAAACTGATTAGTTGTTATATTTTAAACCGTTTACCAATAAAGGGTTGAAAACACAATATTGGCAAGAGTAGCTAGGAAAAAAAAAGTTGATGCCACGACCGGGAGGAGAACCTGCACAAAACTACACACCAGTCTGACACCATAGTCACCCCACCACTACATCTGTTACAGTATGGTTGGTGCCACGTATCCTATCTAGTGTGTCTTTGTAGACGGATGGATGGTTTTTCTGGCGGTGTCCCAGTAGAAGTCATTTCAGAAGTCATTTTTCAGAAAATCCACAGAATATCCAGATCTGAGAACCAAGACCAGACCTGCTTCAGGGGGAGAAGAAATGCACAGTAGTGGCTTACTTTCTTCCATTTGCAGGAAAAATCTTTACATTCAATTCAGTTCAGAAATACTTTATTAATCCCAGAGGGAAATTGATTGCTGTAGTAGCTCTGAATAATAATAATAATCAAGTCATCCAAGAGTTATTGTATATTACAATGGCTGTTGGCAGGAAGGATCTCCAGTAGCGGTCAGTGTTGCAGCCAAACTGAAGAAGCCTCTGACTGAAGGCACTCTTCCGTTGTCGGACAGTCTTGTGAAGAGAATGCTCAGGCTGATTTAAATCAGAATAAAATACAAACTTTAGGCTTCAGTTAAGCTGCGTGTTTGCGTGTATCTGATGTCGGCAACAGCCGGGAAACGTTTGTGTTTTCTGAAAATAAAATGTTGCTTTTATGTGAGATCAGCTGATGCTGTTTTAACCTCCAACCCTCTCCAAAGCTGCTCTGACTTCTCCAGAGGTTTTGACCCACCCACCCACTCCTTGTTGCAACATGAAAAATAAAGTTTTCACTCTCAGTCCTGCCTCGTGTGATCATTTAAAAATCATTATTCATGTTATTAAAGCATCTCAGATGAACACATGAAGACCCGCTCTGCAACCCTCCTCTTCCTCACATGCTGCAGTTTCTGTAGCACCTGTATTTTTGGGCTCCCATGTTCACTTCTTCATTATTGTCATTTTTTAACTAATTCTTAAACTTTTTCCTCCATTTTTGATTCTGGTCTTTTTAAGTAATTATTCAGTTTGTTCTGAAGTGGAATTACTCAGACTTTGATTTCCCGAGGGGGTCATGGAAAATCAGTCTGTTTCTTTGGGAGCAAAAGTGTTCCTGAGCAGACTTTTCCTGCGTCATTCTCTAGAAAGAAGAGATCATGATAAGACAAACCTGCTGGCTGTAGTATCATTAACACTTGCCCTGGCCAGCAGATGGCATCAGATAGTTTAAAATGACCCTGTCATGACCATTTAAATGTCTCCTGTTATGTTTTTATTAATGCATATCTTCCATGAGTAGCAGTGACATTTGATTGGAAGCTGTCCCAGAAGGACGCTCCAGCTGTCAGGAGCATCTCTGCTGGATCCAACAGGAAGCTCCAGCAGATTGGATCTGAGTGACTTCCTGATTACCGGGTAAAAGTCTGGGGAGGAGAGGTTAAAGAGCTGAGATTAGAGGTCTCACACACACACACAGGTGTGGGTTGTAGATGACGGAGTGGCTTTAGGTGTGTGTTTCTGATTTCTGGCTCTGGTGTTAGTCTAAAGTCCACACTGAGTCTTTGCCAGAACCCATAAACTCCTTGGCCCTCCGTCGAGCTCTCAGGTAATGTTGCTTGTAATTGGGAGAGCCGATGATCATGATGCAGCGTTTTCTCCCAGCTGGGACACACCTTTTCTCGTGTTGAACATTTGACCCACTGAGCTTTTCATGCTGTCATCATCCGCCTGCTGAGAGTCGGTGGAGCCTGGATCCTGCCTCGGCCTTCAGGTGGTCTAAAAGACTTGAAGGTGGGAATTAAAACCATCACATCAAAAGTTGACATCAAGAGAAGTAAATGATCCCTGGGCTGCTTCATTTTTGAAGCTTTAAAAATAACTAGGACCTGTTTTATTATTGGATCTGCAGCGTGGGAGATGCCTTCAGTTTTTATTCAGCCCCTGAATCACCTGAGACTCCTGCGGCTTCGTGAGAATCACTCCCTTGAAGGCATATTTGTTCATTTTTAAGGGTTTCGGGGTTTAAGATGATGCAATTTTACCTTTTGTAGACAGCTTCCTGAACAGCCTCTGTTTAGAGAAATAGCGCTGACACCAGAACTTCCAGAATTCCAACTTCACTAGAATTTCCAGTAACCGTCAGTTTGACGGCAGCCATTTTGGCCATTAAATGCAGGCTGGTGATGACAGGAACAAAACGGTTCAAGTGTATTATTAATTAACTCTTTATGGATGTGTGAACCTAATAATGAGGTATGGAAATATCCTTTTAATCCAAACCTTGAAAAGAAGTCTCCGTTGTTTGCTGGGCGACCGACATGGATCTTTTTCGTCTGACGGCTTGTGGGAAACAAAGACAAAAACAACCGTGTTTTTGGACACATTATTTTATGGAAATTCTAACCCAAATAAAGAACAAACAGAAATAGGAAAAGCCCGGAGATCCATCTGACTAAAGTTATTACATCCAAATATGAAAACAGTCAAAACGACAGAGTTCTAGTGTTAAAGCTGCAATGACCAATTAGCCTAAAAATGGTTTTCATGCCTCCTAACGTTCTACATGAATGAATATGTTTATTTAAGTGTCATGCACAACACGTGCCCAGACCAGACAGGCTCATAAGACACTTTTAAACATAAAGAAGTGGCCGTACATTTACACAACCTTTATTTTACATCAGGGGTGGAGTAAGGGAGGCACTTATGGGGCTTAAGCCCAAGCTGTTTTTGCAGAAGCCCTGTGTCTTTTGTGATGCATGGCCATCTTGTTTTCCATCAGTTCCAGTTCTGAAGTCCTGCTTTTGAACCAATACCATTTCAGTCCTGGTGTTTGATGTTTTCTTTTCATTCATGATGGTTTGCCTTAACAGTCCTATTACGGATCAGCACCTCCAAATCTGAGGCCATGGTCCTCGACCGGAAAAGGGTGGCTTGCCAACTCCGGGTCGGGAGAGAGGTCCTACCTCAAGTGGAGGAGTTTAAGTATCTCGGGGTCTTGTTCACGAGTGAGGGTAGGAGGGATCGGGAGATCGACAGGCGGATTGGTTCGGCGTCTGCAGTGATGCGGACGCTGAGCTGATCTGTCGTGGTGAAGAGGGAGCTGAGCCAGAAAGCCAGGCTCTCGATTTACCGGTCGATCTACGTCCCAATCCTCACCTATGGTCATGAGCTTTGGGTAATGACCGAAAGAACGAGACCGCGGATACAAGCGGCCGAAATAAGTTTCCTCCGTAGGGTGGCCGGGCTCAGCCTTAGAGATAGGGTGAGGAGCTCGGACATTCGGGAGGGACTCGGAGTAGAACCGCTGCTCCTCCACATCGAAAGGAGTCAGTTGAGGTGGTTTGGGCATCTGGTCAGGATGCCTCCTGGACGCCTCCCTGGGGAGGTGTTTCGGGCATGTCCTGCCGGCAGGAGGCCCCCGGGTCGACCCAGGACACGGTGGAGAGGTTGCATCTCCAATTTGGTCCGGGAACGCCTTGAAGTCCTGCCGGAGGAGCTGGTGGAGGTGAACGGGGAGAGGACGGTCTGGAGCTCCCTAGTTGGGATGCTGCCCCCACGACCTGGACCCGGATAAGCGGAGGAAGACGACGACGAGTCCTATTGCATTCACATTAGCCACTGGATAATAGCCAGCGTCAGGGCTAAGCCCCGGGTGAATGGAATATCTGGCTCCTCCTCTGTTTTCCATAGCAGGATAAAGTACCATTTGTCTGTTTCCACGCTCTCTATAAATTTTGCTAATGTTAAAATTTCTTGGTCAAAAAGCCAACTTAACATTTCACCATCTGCAGAACAAATGAGGATTTTTACTCTGGATCTTTTCCAACAGGGACATTCTTAGATCGTTATGTGATGGACTATAAAACAAGAAATGAAATTGAACTAAGTCACATAAAACACACTGACGTCGCACCTCCGCTAACCCTTGGTGTCGCCCCACTTCAATAGAAAGAGGCTGGTGTCACGGAGTGTGCAGGTGAGTGCAGCGGAGGTGAGGATCCAAAATGCGGGCAAGAAGGCAATTTTAAAGAGTTTATTAATCATGAACACACGGGGCATGCAAACAATAGACAGACAAGGAACACAGAAGTGGGAGGGTTTAACTCTGAATGAACTGCCAAATGAAAACAGGTGCTTCTTTAAATTATTAAATTATTAGATGAAATATTAAAGCTGAGATGGTCCTAAACTAAGCAAACGAGACAAACGATGAGTTCTGAAATCAACAACCTTTCTTCCTCAAATAAATTCAGTTCAGCGACAAAATAAAGTCTCAAAGCCCTGATCTGACGAACTTATCATAACGTACAAAGTAGCAAAGAAGGTGGAAAACAAAGCCGATGCCCACTTCCGGTGTTGCTATGGAAACAGCGTAAACACGTGTCACTACCCGATCCGTACCGGAAATCCGATCGGTACCACGCATGCGTGAATGTTACGTCATTTCCTCTCTTTGCCAACCTTGCGACAGTTACCGACGGCGGAGGGGGGGGCAAGATGGCGGACTAAGCAGTCACATCCGTCTGAACTCCTCACTGAAGTCCCGATGTTTTAATCTTGAAGTTATAAAATCCACTCCTTTGAGCTATATTGACGACGTTTCAGCCCGAACATGAAGAAAACCAACAACACGAAACCTCCGGCAGTGAAAAACCTCCCTTTTACAACCCAGAGAAACAGCAAGCATGACTACCCAGCTCCGATGGAAACGGCTGATTCCAGCAGCAACAAGAGGGACAGACTGTTAACAACCCCTGATAATACTCCTGAGAAACCACATATGGAGAAAAAAGCAAAAGGTACGGCTAGTGATAATGACTCCAACACATCCACTGACACTATACTGAAAGCTATTGAGAGTCTTGGAAAACGTGTTGATGACCGCATGGACGAAGTTAGCAAACAAATTCAACAACATAGCGCCATGCTGGCTTCCATCGCTAAATCAGTGCAGTTTAATTCAGAGGAGCTGCAAGAATGCAAAAAGAAAATAAAACACCTGGAAAAAGAGATGGAATCAATCAAAAAAGATAATGACGATATTAAGGATCGTGTATTGAGCCAGGAAAGATACAAAAGAAGATGGTGTCTTCGTATCAAAGGGAAAAAGGAGAAAACAAATGAAAATATCAGAGAAGAAGTGGTGGAACTTCTAGGAAGGATTGCTCCGGACCTAAAGATGAAGATGGAAGAAGCAGTTGATGTTGTCCACAGAGTGGGAAGAGCGGTGGAGAATAAGCATCGACAAATCATCATTCTGTTTGTGAGACGTGCCGTGAGAGATGATATCTGGAGGCGAACAAAGGCTTCTCCCGTGTGCAAAGAAGAAGGCATCCGCTTTGCTGAAGACCTGACCCCAGAGGACTGGAGAGCCAGACAAGCGTTGTGGCCAAAAATCGACCAGGCTCGGAAGGAAGGCAAGGCTGCAGGCTTCAGGGGCCCTTTTGGTTTCATAGAAGGCAAACGTATCAGGGTAGAGACTCCAGGTACGGGCTGACATCTGACTACGAAAGGAATATACAGTGGAACATTTCGGATGATGGGACTTTTACCTCAAGATTTTCCTACTCCATCTCCTAAACTTCCTCTTTAAAGCTTTTCATGTGTTCCGTGTTCCAACTAAAAACTAATATTTCTTTTTTTTCCTTTAACACAAGGGGACTTAAAGACTCAATTAAGCGCAAAGCTGTTTTTCTGTTCTGCAAGGGGCAACAGGCAAATTGTTTTTTTCTCCAGGAAACTCATTCTGAGGAATCTGATGTGAAATTTTGGTCACAACAATGGGGAGATAAAATTT